GAGGGCATCCACGCTGTCCACTTCCTGCAATGACACAACAAAACTTCCATGCCAACAGGGTAACCGGTCTCCTTTCCATTTCCCCGTCACCAGGGACCACCATAACTCTTGTCCTTTCTCCTTTTACCCTACGCTTTTGTACTTACTTTTGACCAATGTAATTCTGCCAAGGTGCTATCTATATCACCAACATGATTCAAACAATTAAGTGTAAACATTGTAAGATCAAAGTGAGATTGTGGCTTATTATGACCTATTCCCCCTTTTTGTTTTTGTAATTGCTATTGTAATGTAAAATACGCATGTTCAACAATTGCTTGTCCTTGTGGATTGGAAGGAATTCCACTAGAATGATTAACATTCCACTGTTGTAAAATTTTTTGAAAGCTTTTGCTTATATAGGCAGGACCATTATCTGTTTTTATTTTCTTACAGACTTCCATTTTTTCAAATGCCAAGAGATAAATGTTAACTGTATATGCCCTGCAGTCTCTCTTCCATGGCAGGTAGAATGTCTAAAGTCAGAGTAAGTATCTGTACTAACATGTGCATACTGAAGTCTGCCAGATTGGGACTTGTGCCACAACTATTTGCCACAGCTCATCCACCTGAAGGCCTCAGGGACCACAGTCCTCTGATGGAATTGATATAGGTAAACCTTGACATTCTGGACAAGATTGTACAATGTGGTGTGCCTGTGATCTCAAAAGTTTAAAGGCAGAGGTAATGGCATGAGTGTTCTGATGGAAATAAGAAAGGGAAAGTCCCACCTGTTGAAAAGTCAAGGTGCTGAGTCTATTGGCATAATTTCATTCTGCTAGTGGTCCAGGAAGACCAGAATATAAGCATATATGACCTATATAGAAAGGGGCGTCCTATTTTGAGTGGCTTTCTGTAATTGTAAACACAGACTGAATAGAGGTAGACTCCAGGTGCCTTTTTTTTTCTTTTTGAGACAGGGTCTCATTATGCATTTCAGGCTGGCCTTGAGCTCAGAAGTCTGAAGACATTTTTTTTTTAATTTTAAAGAGAGTAGTAAAAAATAAAAAAGAATAATAGCAACATATCAACATCACAGACATAAACAAAACAAAGCAAGAACACTAAAGTGATACAGGGTTTCAAAACAAAATGATAGGAATTAACAGTGGTTGTTATATCACCTATTGTTATCTTCAACGACATTGCTCAGATTACCAGATGTAAGAATTGAGGATTGTTCAAACCATTAAAGAGAATAAAAAAATAATTATTTTTTTTCCTGAAGACTTTTTATAAGCTGGTTATTGAGACAACACCACCCAATAGGTTGGCCTTTATTGTTCACTACTTGACCAAGAAGTCCAGTGGGAGAGTGTGGAATGGGCAACAAAATCAGCATAAGAGGCACAGTTAGAATGACCTGGAACACTCGTCTATTTGCCAAAGTGGTTTCTATCACCCAGAGCTCTTCAACTGCTTTAGGTGTAAGAATACAGGGAGAATTACAATTTTGATCTTGTAATGTTTTACATAGATTGCTTAACTAGTATGTAGGTATTCCTAGTTTTGGGTGAATCCAATTAATGACTCCCAATAAATTCTGGAAATCATTTAATGTTTGTAATGAGTCTCTTCTAATGTTAATTTCTGGACTTGAACTGCTCATTCTGTTACCAGAGTTCCCATGTAACTAGAGGGGGAGATAGTTTGAATTTTCTGTGGGGCTATGCATAATCCATTTTGTACCAAAGCCCATCTAGCTTCTGGAAAAGAAGAGTAAGTTGTTGCCAGGAATTGACAGCAAGCAATACATCATCCAAACAATGTATTATATAGGCTTGAAGGAACCTGCCTCTAACCAGATCCAAAGCCTACCAACAAAATACTGATACAGCGTGGGACTGTTCATCATCCACTGTGGCAAAACAGTCCACTGATATCAGCACATAGGCTTGATAGTGGCAGGAACAGAAAAAGTAAAATGAGGTTGGTCTTGCAGACTTAAGGGAATGGTAATAATGCAGTCCTTAATATCAGTAACTACCATAGGCCAGTCCTGTGGAACTACAGCAGGAGAGTGCTGCAAAGTGCCCGTAGGATAAATATATGCAATAGCTTTTAAATTCTGAAACAGCCTCCACTTTCCTGGTTTCTTTGTTACAACAAAAACAGGAATATTCCAAGCGCTAGTGGAAGGCTTAATATGTCTCACCTTCAACTGTTCTATTAATGCTAGTAAGCAATTCAGCTTCTCTTTTGGTAGGGGCCATGGATCCACCTAAATAGGAACATCAGTTTTCCATTTTAATGACAGTACAGTTTTGAGATAGGGAGGAGCCACAATGATCCCCATTAAAATTTGTCTCATAGCCAGGATCTTCCCTTTCATTCCTCTAATACATTTCTATGGGTCTGGGATTGTCTGGTTGATTTTTTTCCCCTGTTCTTGTCCTGGAACATATCTCATACCTTGCATCTTTCTATCCACATGTGGGATTGCCTCATTAGTAATTTGAATCTGCCATTCTTTCAGTAGAACCCTGCTCCACAACTTGACTGAGATCTCTGCAATAAAGTGCTGAAAGACTCCCATAAAGCTATTAAGACTTACATAGGGCAGAGGTGCAGGACTCTGCATGACCTGCCTGGGTGACCCAAGTCCCATCAAGGAGGTGGCTGCTGCTCAAGTAGACCAGGCAGATGACCTCTGAGATGAAGCCATCACTAAAACATCTGCACTGGTATCCATTAATCTTAGAAAATATTTTCCTTTAATTTTCACAGCATACCTGAGCTGTTGGCTTGTGATGCCTTGAATAAAAAATACTTCTTTATGTGATGTACTGCCAGATCTTTTTTCCCTGAGATCTGTTCTTGACCAGCAGCTGTAGCTTTGACTATAAGTAAAAGAATCAATTGGGCAATATAATCTCCTTGTCCAAAAACAAGACATCATAAGCCTCAACCACAACCTGTTTTTCTCTCAAGTGGTTTGAATCAATAACCTCAAGAAGTACAACACCCTGTAGGTTCAACCTACTTTTTCCTAAGACTAACCCTACAATATCTAAGGGAAGATGTCCCCAGATTCCTGTGTGGATTTTAACAGTTTTAATTTTTGTCTGTCAAGTTCACCTGTTCAGCAGCAGAAACGTATAACCTTGGGCTTCCTGAGGTTCTGATGATAAGGGACTCAACAATCCACTGGAGATCCGCTGAGGATTGGGGCTGTAACCCTGCATGGGAAATTGTTGTTTTTTGCGCCTGGGGCCAGGCCCACATCCTGTTTTCTGCCAGTGGGAAAATATTTAGAGTTATTTCAAAAATATTTAGAGTGACACTGATTAGTTCAGTGACCTTCCCTCCAACACCTAGGGTACAGGCCTGGCAATTTCCCCGTGGAGGAGGGATGGCTGCTCCCCCTTTTGTCTGGGGCTGAGTACACTGTTTATGACCATGCCCTGTTTTGCCACAATTAAAACATTTTTGAAGAAGTTTGATGTTTAAAAATTAAACTAAACATAGCTTGAGTAGACATAGAGGACTTATGACTTTTGGTACCCACATCCCAGCATACTTTCAAATAGTTTCCAAGATTTTTTAGTCACTCAGATGACCCCTAACCTATGTTTACAGCTCTTATTAGCATTCTCAAAAGCCAGCTGCAACACAGCAATCTCTGCACCTTGGGCATATGGTATCTGTCACTGGACAATTTCCTGTAATCTGGCTAAGAAGTTGGCATAAGGTTCCCATGAGCCCTGAAGAATGTGTAAGGATGGGTGGGAATACCTTCCTTAGGAATAGTTGTGCAAGCTTGTGTCATCATGAGAATCAGTTGCTTATAAGCTTGCTCTGGAAGAGTCAATTGCTGGACTAGATGTGAGTATGGACCTGTTCCCAACAGCATTTCCTTAGTAACCTCAGGATGTTCTGCTCCTTAATAAAGTAGACAATTATTTTACTTTCAGTAAAATACAACTTGAACAATTTCTGTGGATTACTTTATACATGAGCGAACTGCCAAAAATAAATCTCCCAAAATTGTAAGATTCATTACTGATCAACATGGCTACCATGAACCAGCTATTTGGACACGGAAATGGTTTTACTAAAAACTGTTGATGCATTTCTATTACAAAGGAATACTTTAAAGCGACCTTTTTACTTAGTTTGAATCTAGTTTCAATAGTGTAGGGTAAATGTGAACAAATATACGTGCTAATACTATCATTTTTTGAGTAGCTATAGTGTTTTGCACACATTACCTCTAATCCTTACCTTAAGAATCTGAAGGATGGGGGGATAGCTCAGCGGCATAAGCGCCTGCCTGGCAAGCACAAGGTCCTGAGTTCGGTTCCCGCTTCCACAAAAAACAAACAAAAAAACTATAGAAGTCTGCAGTGTTGGTTTTGTGCTGTTACAGATGAAGAACAAAACTTTGGGCAAGTGTGCTTTCAGCAGTGCCAAAGACGATAATTAGATACGGCCGAGATTTGAATCTTGAATCATTACAAGCCAGGTTTTCCTGGAACTACTCTCGGAATTAATTTCTTGTAATTTCTGACCCCAAACTGTGGAAATCTACGTTTTAAATGCTAGGTAAAACTAAAGAATATTTCAAGGGTAAAACTTTGAATTGTATTATTATCAAGCTACTATATGCTACTGCAGTAAACAATGTAAAAAACACCGAAAAAGAGTCCCAACTGTTGTATCTTTACGTGTAACACAATACTTAGCCGCAAGTCTTCACACCTAGCAGCGCAATGGGTAGACGTGATACTGAAAACACGGGTAAAACTCGTCACTTCAACAAGAAGACCTTGTGTACATGCTTTTTTTACTCTTTTAACAGCAATCAGCGTGCAGCAAGGTGACAGCTCACACATGCCAAGACGCAAACACCGACCTCTCACTCCTTACTTGCACAGCGCCGCAGGCGCAGCGAATATACGTCACCACGTAGGGCGCGACTTCCTTCCTGCGCATGGTGTTGGACGGAAGGCGAGAGGTGCCAATCCGTAGGGATTTGCGGACCAACCGGGAATGCAACTGGTCTGAGCTGTTTCTAGCTGTTCGGCTAGCGAGCGCTGTCCTCTCCTCCCCGCCTTCTGTCAAGCACGCAGTTTAAACGCTCGGGCTGCAGCGCTGGGCGGGGCCAGGCTGTGCTCCTCCCCACCGCCGGCCGTCCGCGGCCCGCTCTTTCTTCCGGGAGGCGGAGTCATCGCCCGGGCAAGCGCCCGGGTTCCCCTTCCTGATGCCCGCGCCGAGGCCGGTTGCCCCCGTAAGGCCGCGGGTCCTCTTGCTTCCCGGCCCGGCGCCGTCTCCCGGGCCCTGGGCGGCGGTGCCCCGTGCGCAGGAGTTAGGAGAAGCGGCTCCGCGGAGCTCGTCGCGGGCAGCCCCGGCCGATGGGGGTCCAGGGGCTGTGGACGCTGCTGGAGAGCTCGGGGCGGCAGGTCAGCCCCGAGGCGCTGGAGGGCAAGATCCTCGCCGTGGGTATCCTCCGTGAAAGGAGTCTGGGGTAGTGGCCGGCTCTGTCAGTGCCGTGAATCTCAGACTTACCCCGGTGGCAGCTCAGCAGTGTTTTGTTTTAAATTATTTTTATTAGTATGTATTTGCAGTACATAATGATTTCATTCATCTCGGGTATTTGGTACAGGGATGTAACATAGCTTAGCACATCTTGGTTGTTTTTACTTTCCTTTCTCCTTCCCTTCATCTCTGGGTTCTCCTCCCGTTTGCAAAAGATCTGTCCTCCTGCTTGCAATCTTTTATGAAGCCATGCGGTATTTAAGCGCGTGTCTCCGAGTTACTTAACATTCTCGTCTCAGGGTGGATCCACTTTCCTGTAAATGCCTCAGCTTTGTCTCGTGCCTGCTCCTGTCAGTGCTGACGCATTTATATTTCTCAAGGAAGAGGATAATGTCGAGAGGTGCTTGACTTTATTTGCTTTTTGAAGAGGTACAATAACTTTTACCCTTTAATCGCGGTTTTTGATTAAGTTCATGTGATAAAACTTTGAAAAGGTTTAAAAAGATATACGTTGTTTTCCTCCCAGCCCCAGCTGATGGGCTTCTTAAGGTCAGTGCTTTGTGTGCACGTTTGGTGGGTTTTGTGTCATTGGAATTAATTTTTTTTTCACCGTGAAAACAATACTCTTTTTTGAAGTTTGGACTTTTTTATTCGTGATATAACTCTCCCATCCCTTCGGCTGGTTACACAAGTTTCCTAAGTGGGGACTAGAAAGTTATGTAAATACAGTAACTGCTCTGAGCGTGCGTCCCGGAATAAAATACTGGCGTGCATGTCAGTTCGGCAAAGAAGCCGTTGACCGAGGAAGCACTGTTAATTTTTAAAATGTAAGGGTTTTTTTTTTTTTTTTGCCAAGTGAATAATTTGCAAATGTATTTGTAAAGTTTTGTATTTAAAAGTTTTGTTCAGAGTACTTTCTGTTGGGGAAAACGAAAAGTATTTTAAAATCCATGAGCTATGGCGCCCTCTAGTGCTGTCTGGGTATCGTTGCACTGTGAAGGTTTTTGACAACTCCGGATAATTTTCGGTGACAGGACCCTTGAAACTTCAGTAAAGGTTTAGGGTCATTTTACATTGAAGCTCTGAAAAAGCATTAAGAATTTGTAAAACCATTGAGATGACACTTGAAATTCAGCATGCTAGTTTTTTTAGGAGGTCAGAGTAAGGAAGGGTAAACCATGTAATTTAGAGTATCTGTTATGTAGAGAGCTCAAAGAGGCCCTTTTGGGATGGGATGTCATTTTTATGAAGCTATTAGGCTTTTCTGAAAGAATGAATGGCTTATCTAAAGAGGACTGTCAGAGATGTTCTAGCTACAGTGATAACCTCACATATATAATATCAGGTTACTTACAATTGATTTTTCTTTATTTTGTCTTTATGGGAATTCAAGCATCTAAATTATGGGTTTTATCTTTTTGGTCTTTTTAAAAGACTTTACAGTTATAGCAGGCTCATAATTTGTTTTTGGACCTCTAAAATAAAGTGTTTGGTGTTTGCACTGTGTGGATAGCTGAGTCTCTTTATACAATTAAGTATCTTGAGTATTTATTTTATACAATTAAATATCTTAAATGTTTACTTTAAATATTAACTTTAATTTCTTATGGGCCTTGACATTTGTGAAATGGATTTAACTATAATAGGAAGATACTACAATAAACTGTGAATACAGATGAGGATTTATTAAACTTTAGGTTACCTAACTACACGATTAAGGAAATTACATTTTTTAAAGTGTTACTGACTGTTCGTGTCTGAACTCCGACGTGATGTTGGGCCTTGCTGCAGATTTTAACTTTTCTAGTCCTTCAAGAAATGTAAAATATTTGCTTTATATAAACATAGTGAAATTAGAAAAGTCAGATTATATAAATATTTTCAGCTTGCCTGATTTTATATGTTTTTGTAAGAATTTTCAAGCCGGAATTCCCAGATTTCACTAGGATTTGGGACTACCTAAGATTAATTAAAAAAAATAAAAACTCCAACCTTAGTCTCCATGGTATAGTATTTAAAAATGTTTTAAAGTTAGTATTTTAGTCATATGGGGTTTAGTAATCTGTGTTTCAAAAGCTTCATATCCTGTTTTAATAGATAGTAAGGTTGAGAGCTACTGATCTGAAATTAGATTTTCTCTAGTATAAAGTTGAAAATAGTGGGCTATGTAGAAATTTATATAATCTCGTGTTTTAGTTACTTTTCTCATTGCTGAGACAAAATACCCAACATTCACAAATTAGAAGAAGAAAGGCTTATTTCAGTTCAAAGTCTGTAGAGGTTTCAGTCCGTAGATGGCTGGCTGCGAGGCAGGGCAGCATAGCAGTGGAGAAACAGTCTATGGCAGAGCAGGCAGGAAGCAGGAAGCCCGAAGCAGCAAGCAGCAAGGCAGGAGGCAACAGGCCACAGGCGGAAGCAGCAGTGAAGCAAGCCTGCTTTGCCCTTTTATCCCAGCTAGGCTTTTGGGTGGTGCCTCCCACACCCAGGGTGGGCCTTTCCATTATCTACACCCAGAGCTGTGCTAATTTCAGTAGTGGACTAATTTGGTTCCACATACCCTCTGTCCCAGTATCACACACCCTGTATCTAGCCAGCCCCTGGAAAGCCCCACCTGTGAGTGCATGAAGCTTTGGGAGAACATCTAGATACAAGCAGTAAGATCCCATATGATCATGTAGCAAGGAGAAACAACCTAAGCAGAACGTTTACCCAGTGTGGTATGAATCTAAGATAACACCAGCTCCTGTCTCTAAGGACCTGATCACTTCTGGTGTCCACTACTACCATCTACTTTTGTGTGGGCTGTTACAACTATTTTAAAACTAGTTTTCTTACCAGTTACCCCCGGTTTTCCCTTGGGTGATCCTTTACAATGTGGAGATCGCCCAGCTGACGTTGTGCCACACACACCTCAGCTCCTGCCACTCACCTTCTGCCACACAGGCCTCGAGCAGGAGTGGATTCTGTCCAAGCGCATTTGCACTTCTGCCCCTTTCCTCTAGATCACTGTTGTCAATGCAGATTTCTCTTACTTCTTCAGAGAGACCTTCTGTAGCTGAAGAGCCCTCAACTTCCAAATATTTATCCTATTATTTTGGTGCTTTTTCTGTATTAGGTATTTTTTGGAAAGATTAGCAGAGAAAAGAGGCTTTGTTTCTTATATTCAACTGTATGGACAGACACTTCTATTTCTCCCTAACTGGACAGTTCTTATATTTCTATACATTTTAGGAGTTCTGAGAGAATCTTGAATATTGAGTGGCAGAGTTATGTACAAGTAATGCATTGTTATGCAAAATAGTCAGTTAACAGTTTAATAATTTTGGGAAACATTTATTTGATTATATACCTAAGTTTTAGGCATCCTGGGGTTGTTAAAAGGCATATAACAGAAGCTAACATAGTTTCTCAAATACATTGTATGAGTAATAGGAAATTCTGGGTGTGCTTAACATGACATAAACCTGAAGATATTCACTGATAAAGCTAGTCTGAAAGTACAGACAAACCAAATTCTATGGGGAAAGTCTGTTATAATTTAATATGTGTGTGTGTATATATATATATATATATATATATATATTTATTTTTTAATTGTCTTCCCCATTAGAAGGCAAGCTTTTCAAAGATAGGGACTCTTTTGTGCAACTGTATTGTTGGATGCATTTCCGTAGTTCGTGGATATGCCTGGCACATGGGACAGCTCACGTGTTACAGGAATAAATATAACAGTAGTGTGGCTTCCGCTGCTTGTTTTGTTACATGGTATATACTGAGCTAATTGTTTAGTATATGTGCTGCCGAGCGAGCACAGTACACAGTTAATTGCTGATGGGCCTAGAGGATTTATGGTAGTAAAAGTTAGGCAGTATACATTTATTTAAATATTAACTGCCTCATTTAATACCAGCTGTGTATTGCCTACTGTGTGGTAGGTCCTGTGAAAGGGAGGGAGTGCAGGAGTGTGTGGGCTGCAGGAACCGTGGCACTCACAGCTCGTTTTTCCCTCCACTAGATCGTCAACTCCAGAGACAAACACTGTCCTGTTCAGAACTACACACTGTCACCCCAGTGTTTAGAAAAATTCCTACCACATGATAATATTATTTGAATAGGTCTTAATCTAAGCTGGGTGAAAGACCCACAGGCTGAGACCGCAGAGTAGGAGATAACCAGAGGACCGTGTGTGATAGGCCAGGAGGCTGGAGGGCGCTTTGCGATTCCAGGGTTTGAGGAGAGTCTGCTGGCTGAAAATGTGTTTGGAGAAATGCACAGGGGCCAGGTCACCCTGGGCTTTGTAGGCCGGAGGAGGAGCTTCGAATATGACCCCAAAGGCAAAGGGAAACCGGAGAGGGCTGTGATTAATTAACTATAGCGCCTGCCTGGCAAGCGCAAGGTTGTGAGTTCGGTTCCCGGTACCGGAGAAAAACCAAAAAAAAAACAACAAAAAAACAAAACAAAAAATAAAGTGTTTGAAGTAGAGCTGCCAGGCTTTCATATTGTGGGGTGAGGGGAACCCTTGGCATGACACCCAGAGTTCTGGCTCAGGGGATGGGAGGGACGGGGGCTGAGCTGAAGAAGACACCAAGTTAAGTTTGGGTCTTGTTAAGTTCGAAGTGTCTGGGAGGTGTCGGCTGGAGCTGTCCGATAATAGGCTGTCCTGGCTGGGGAGAAGAGGTCCTGAGGAGGATCACCAGAAAACACCTGGGTGATCTGAGGACTTGGCCAGGACTGAGGGCAGGAAACCCAGCGGGGTGCTGGGGTGTCTTCCTTCCATTATTTCTTCCATTTCCTCCCCGTCTGTCCCTCCCGCCCTTCCTTCCTTTTTGTTTTTAAGAGCTCTTTGGTGTTCCAGTGAATCAGTATACAGTAACTTAGTTTTTAAAAAGATCTGTTACAAAGCTTTTAAATTATTTTTTTACATTTTCTTCGCTATAAACATATATCCTTGTAAATACATCTTGCTGTAAATCCATAGTGATTTCCTGAGCATGTATACCTGGAATGGAATTCTTAGATAAAAGAAAATGCAAATATTTAAGTTTTTTTTTGCTATGAATTGCCAAATTGTCCTCTCGGAAAATGTGTACTAGCGTACTAATTTTTTAGAAGAAGAGATTCTTTCCCATTACGCCTTTGGAAGGGTGTGTCTGTCTTGCATGGTTTTAAAATTCAGTATGCAGATTGCACCAAGGGCTAAAATGGCTACTTGATATTCAGTAGCAGGGCCCTACATTTTTTTCAATTTCGGATGAGTGGTGACATGCGCAGTGTTTAGTGTTCGGGACGTCAGCATCAGGGAATGGAAATTGTGAGGGAAAGGGAGGAAGTTCCAGAGTGTTTTCCTTGAACAGTTCTCTCAGATATTAGCATTTGGTTAAACCAAGCACTTAAAGGAGTCCGAGATCGCCATGGGAACTCCATAGACAACGCTCATCTTCTCACTTTGTTTCATCGGCTCTGCAAACTCTTATTTTTTCGAATTCGTCCTATTTTTGTATTTGATGGGGATGCTCCACTGTTGAAGAAACAGACTTTGGTATGTATCACTGAATTTTATTTTCTCTTTAGAAGTTTAGCTTGAATGCTCTTTATTTTGTTTTCATGGTGCTGGGGATTGAACCCAGGGCCGTATGCATGCCAGGCAAGCGCTCTACCTCTAAGCTACATCTCCTTTTAGAACTTTAGAAACCAACTTATTTTAATACATAGCCACTTTAGTTTCATCTGCTTTTTAAAATTTAATATAAACAGATTTACTTTTTAAAAGATATGTATATTATATGAGAGACATCATGGGAGCAATAATAAGAAAATGTAACTTTTAACTAAAACTACTAGAATTCTTACAATTGAGAGTTTTCCCTGTAGAGTCTGTTTAGGTATTTCACATGTATTCCGACTATGCCTCCATTGCTTATAACGTTGTGGGAAACCTATTTAGGAAGTGTCTCCCTAAATAAATGTGGGATTGACTATTCTTAGGGATATAAACCTTTCATTGTTTTAAAGGTAAATTGGGTTTTAGGTGTAAAAGTGCTGTGTGGTACCAAGTAATGACCAATGTGGGTTCTCCAGGAAGTCAACTGGATGTGATAGAAAAGAGTGAGAGTGAGTCTCTGTATTGTTCTGAAAGTAGTTTTTAAAAACATTCAAGCAATTGAAATGATTGCATCCTTGTGGATACATGACTTTTGTATGTTGAAAAGGTCAGCTCATTGCTTTATAATTGCACCAGGCATGTAATATCTAATGAAGTGGGGACATGGGATAAAAATAAGAATTTGTAAATGCTTGGACATAAAAATGTCCAGACTTGAATGTTGTGGTTTGCTGTGATCTGAGGGATTCTCCTTATCAGGCAGGTTTTGGAAGGAAAAGAGGATATCCTGGTGATTTGTGTTACATTCAACTGTAAACACAGAGGCTTCTATTTATCCCAGATTGGGCATTTCTTATATGATATTTCTACAGATTTTAGGAGTCCTTGTGACAGAATCTTAGATGTTGAGGGATAGAGTAATATACAAGAAATGCATTTTTATAAAAAAGCACTATGAGCTAATAGCTTAAAGAATAAGTTGATATAATTTTAGAAAACTCTTGCTTGACTATATGCCTGTTTTAGACTTTTGGGGATGTAGATATTAAAAGACATTTAACAGAAACAAAATAAATTATTATTTGCTCAAACATTGTGTAAGTAATAGGTAGAAAATCTGGGTGTCCTTAATATAACATAAACGTTGAGATATTTATGGATATAACCATAGTGTGGAAATGCAGATAAACCAAATTCTGTTGGAAAACAATCACTGAAATGTTTTTAACAGAACACTGCCTGGAAGTCACATCTTACACATTTCCTGTTTACAGGCCAAGAGAAGGCAGAGGAAAGATTTAGCGTCCAGCGACTCCAGAAAAACTACAGAGAAGCTTCTGCAAACCTTTCTGAAAAGACAGGCTATCAAATCTGCCTTCAAAAGCAAAAGGCAAGAGGAAAATGGCATTAGTTTCAGAGACTAATGTAAAAGCATTTCATTTTTTTGTGAGAGAACCCTGGTTCTCTTTCCCTGACGTTAACTTTCAGTAGGAGCATAGAGAGTGAAACGAGAGAAGGAAGCAGGATGTCACTGGATCTGGTAATTTGAAATTGTGAAAACGCCCTTGTGTAAGAATCAACTTTGCTGATAGATAAAAGGTGTAGTGCTTCATAGTTTGTCCTCCCTCACCCTTTGATGTATAATTTTTGCAGGGCTGGAGATTGAACTGAGGCCTTGCACATGCTAGGCAAGCGCTGTGCCGTGGAGCTGCTGTACTTACGCAGCCTGACCTTTGACTTTCGTAGAGCTCCTTCTGCTGACGGCAGTGGAGGCTGTGGCCAAGGCTCTGAGGAGCCCTGTGAATTTCTCTAGGCTAAACTTGCTTAGCTTCTGCGGCAGTGGTCCAGGCAGTGGTCCAGGAAGAGCGTGGCTGGGAGGGAGAGAGCCCCTGCCCTTGAGCAGGGCTTGTGTAACCAGTGGGAGAGGATCATTGATCAAAGTACTGTCGCATCAAATCTCTGTTTAATGTTATATGTGCTTTTCAGAGGTGAAGCCCTTCCTAGTCTTACGCAAGTTCGAAGACAGGATGACATCTATGCTTTGCCACCCTTACAGGAGGAGGAAAAGCACAGGTAAATGTGTATGTAAGAAAATTACTTCAGTCCTTGTGGTATTCCAGGAGGTAAGCCTCCGTGTGCTATCTGTGTGCGGGCCTTGACGGGATGTGTTAGTGCAGCTGAAGTACCCATTGTTTGTACCCTTTGGAGTATTTTTCAGACACTACATTTTTTATTTTCCACTGTGGCTTTGTGTGTTGGTGATTTGTGATTTATTGTTCTTTTTCATACCAAAAAGCCTCTGCTGACCGTGTGGGTTTAAAATGCAGGAAGACACGGATTCTAGTTGTTCTTACACTTTGTGTGTCCTTCCCACCTCTACCTGCCTCTTAGCTCGGGGTTGTCTTTCCCGGCACCACGCTGGAGACACCCCACACGCGACCTTGCGCTGCATCTCCGAGGCGCCGCCCGCCTCAGCGTGTCCTCCGCCCTGTGACACTTGTGAGTGACTTCTCCCTGACAGGTCCAGTCTCTGCTTTGTAGAATAGAATATTTTTGAAAACCACGCCTGTTCTTGTCATTTCCTTGCTTAAAACCCTTCCCATCTTCTCGTTTCTTTAGGGTGAGGCTTCAGCCACTAAGTGCGCTTCTGCACCTCGTCCCTTAGTTTCTGTACACCGTCTCCAGTCAGGCTTTCATTTCAGTGTTTCCAGATAGTTGCAGAACTTAGTTCTTCTGATGGGCAAACTTTCCTCCGTGAACCTTTGCGTATCCTGCAACTAGATCCTGCACTTACTGGTAGCTGACTTCAACAGAGCAGCTGTGGGAGAGTCCAGAGAGCTTCTTGACTCCCCAAACTAGGGGCAAGTGCCTCGCCATCCTGCACCTAAAGCAGCCGGGGCTTCCCTTGGGCGGAACCTCTGAGGCTGTATTCTGATTGCTTCCTCATGCGTGGTCCCTACCAGGCTGTGACACTACTGGTGACATGGGTCTTGCTGTCTGCCTCTTGTGGCCTGTAACCAGTAGCACCTGGTACTCTAGATGTAGTTTTGTGGGCAGTCATAGAGTCAGAGGTAAATTGTGAATATGTGCTTGACTTTCAGTTCAGAAGAGGAAGATGAAAAAGCATGGCAAGAAAGAATGGATCAAAAGCAGGCCTTACAGGTATTTAAGTACTTTTGGAATTGAGAATTTGTATGTTATTAGCAATGAATGGCACGAAAATGAATAATATCAGTGAGGTAGTATGAATTTATGAAGGTCCCAATAAAAGTAAAGACATGCCTTTGCATTATGTATTTGTATATGGGTGTGTATTGGTGTGTGTATATGACACATGGAGACGGAATTTGCCGTTATGCACACCTGTACAACCAAACGGTTTTCTTTTACAGTCAACCGACTGACGAATCAATAAACAAATAGTGATACATGGTTGTGGGAATATAGGAAACGCACCACCTGTAAATAAGGGCTACAGCATGTGGGTGTATTTTAGATCATCCCCTCTCATGGTTGAATACTCTGTGCGGGTGTGTGTGTGTGTCTGGGTCTGTGTGTATGTACAGATGTACACATGTACATGCACTTGTCTTGGTACCTTTTCATCGCCGGGACACGAAATAGACACTCAGAATTTAAAGAAGAAAAGGGTTATTTTGGCTCATGGTCTGCAGAGGTTTAGTCCGCAGTCCGCTGGCCCCCGGGCAGAGGCAGTGGGAAGCAGACTGCCCAAAGGGAGGAGGAGGGATAGGCCCTGTTCTGGCCACGCCCCCAGCGAGCCACCTCCCCCTACGGGGTTTCTCCTCCCGCTCTCGCCCATCAGTGGGTGCACGCAGCATCACACACCCATGACCCAGTCACCTCCCACAGCCCCGCCTGTGAACACGTGAGGCTTTGGGGAGATATCTGGATAGAAGTGTGTGTGTGTGTGTGTGTGTGTGCGCGCACGCGTGTGCGCTCGCCTGTGTGTGTGTGATAGTGGTCTCTGACAGTGTCCCTTAGTAGAATAACATGCCATTTTCTGTCATCCTCGTCACAGTCCTGTGCTGATGAGCTCAGGGAGCACGTCTCCCGCGGAGTGTCTGTGGATACGGGCAGAAGTGCGCAGGCGCTGGCACGGCTTCGCAGGCTTCCCCACCCTGCTGGGGAGCGATGCTGGCTGCCAGTGAGACTTCGGCCGGCCGGCCACCTAGCACTTGCGTGTGGTCTCCCAAGCCCTGCTGGGTTCCACGGGCAGACGTCCCCGGAGGAAGTTCCTGCCTGAGCTGTGCTGCCTTGCTAACCTCACTTTGGGAGTTGTACAGCGTCCTTTCCAGGACATTCTGCTGTTAGAAGCTAGATCTTAAGGCCAGCGTCTGTTTAAGAGAAGAAAAAAATTAGATAAGATGTCAGAGAATCTGTGGACGTGTTTTAAAACCATCACCACACGTATTTTATTTTTTAATATTTATGTATTTATGAGATAGGGTCTTCCTATATATCTCAGGCTGGCCTTGAACTCCACTGTGTAGTCCAGGCTGGCCTCAAACTCATGGCGATCCTCCTGCCTCAGCCTCCTGAGTGATGCGCCACCATGCCCGGCTACTACACATACTTAATGAATGAAGTTTCTTTACAAACTAAAGTTGTACTGTGTCTACGATTTTTTGTAATGGAAATTTTTCTCAAGTGTCTTAGTGTAGCAAATAATATTCCGTGATTCCTAATTTCGTTATTTTTAGTTAGTTCATATTGCTTTGAGCAGTCTGGTAGGAGCTATTTGAGCTAAAACCTCAGAGTCCTGCAACTCAGGCTCTGCTCTGTGTGTGTGTGTGTGTTGGGGGGAGGTTCTAGTGTTTGAACCCAAGGCTTTCTGTGTTACTAATGCAGCAGGTACCTCAGTCTTTGTTCCAGTGGCACCGGGTTGATGAACTTAATTCATTCCACGATTCTGGTTGCAACTGAATTACGAGCAAGTGTATGCTGGCATGTGTGGTGGTGCATGCCTGTAATCCCAGCACTCTGGGAGGCCGAGGTGGGAGGCTCATAAGTTTGAGCCCAGCCTGGACAACTTAGTGATACGCTGGCTCAAAATGAAAGATAAAAAGGGCCGGGGAGCAGCGTATTGGGAAGGCCTCGAGCCATGCGCTTGCTGTTCCTTCCACTTGGGACACTCTGTCCCCAGGCAGTGTTCTGGGCGGCCTTCCAGTCCCTGAGTCCAGGTCCTTTTTCTAGTAGGGCCTTCTCTGTCATTCAGATACTTTCTTGTTCTTTTAACCACTCTTCCCAGATTAACCCGTGTGATTTCATCTTGTTTGTTCATTTGCCTACTTGTTAGTCATGAGCCTTCCTCCACTGCTGGGTTAGGACTCTTCTGCTCCGTCCCCCTGGGCCCTGGCGCCTAAAAGAGGCCGAGCCCTTGGGGGTGCTGCTTGGTGCTGGTTTTTTTTTTGTGAAGGAAGGAAAGAATGAAGGATGCATCCCCCACTCGGCTCCTTCACTTTGTGCTCCTGTGTTTACTTGTAGACTATGGAGAACTGTTCAGGACATGAACACAGTCCACATCCGTAACAGTGACTAGGGTGCAGTGCATGCAGTACAGCTGTCACAGCGTTGTATTTTAATCTTTACAGGAAGAGTTCTTTCATAATCCTCAAGCGATAGATATCGAGTCTGAGGACTTCAACAGCCTGCCCCTTGAAGTAAAGCATGAAATCTTGACCGATATGAAAGAGTTTACCAAGCGAAGAAGAACATTGTTTGAAGCAATGCCAGAGGTGAAACATTCAATAATACACATGTACATTAATGCTTAGAATTAAGAATCTCACCAGAACTTTTCATTAGAAGAGCTAATCTATAAGCAGTACTTATATAATATCTCACTTTCCAGTAAAGAGCATTTGTGTATCTCAGAGGTCCTTTGAAGCATCCTTATTTGTAGGTTTGAACTGATAAAAGCTGACTCAAAGAACTCTTCGTGACTTTCCACCCAAGACTAGGTCTTGTCTTCTCTGTGTTGGGGAACCTGTAGTGTTGCCTCGGGTTCTCAGGCCTGAACAGGCCTGGCTTGCTCACTTGCGTATCGTCAGCAGTGCGCTCAGAATCGCCCACACAGTAAATGCTCGATATGTGATGAATGGTTCAATTCTTCAGTTAGTTCATAAAACTAATTGTAAACTATAAGATACATTACCTAAAAAAGTTAATGGCATGGTGAAATTAAAACCCAGTGGAAAAGTATGTCCTGGCCTCGACCTTCCGACCTTCTCCTATAGCTGTAGAGCTGCCGCTGGGCATCCATGTTCCTTCCCTCTTCTGGACAGCGGGAATAGAGCAGCTTCAGGTTGACCTGATGGTGGCTTCACAGCCGCAGGAAGCTGGAGTGGGGCTGGTGTGTGGGATCCGGCCTCGGCGAGCAGGGTGGCCTCGCTGCCTACCCTTACTCAGTCTGTGCTACTGTGCATCACACACCCTCTTCAGTTGCTACTGAACGAGTTCTGTTTCCTTTGCTGTCGCCACCACTTACATTTCTAATATAGTTTCTTTTGATCTACTCTAGGACGTTGTGTGAATTTTGCAGACTTATTTGTAATGAATTGATGTAGTGTTTTTTAAAATTTTAAAAACTTTTGACTATTTCTGAAATTGATACTGGAAATATCAGAAAGTCAGACTATCCCATCATCGCATCCTTCTATTTTTCCATGTAGAATGTGACGACAAGAAGATGCCCAGGTGCACAGAAATGCTATTCTTGTGTCTTGATTTTACAGGAGTATATTTACTTTTATTTCAGGGGAAAAACTCGACTCCTTGCACATTGTGTAAATGGGATATTGATCGCAGTAGTGATGGAGAGTAATAGTGATAATGATAGTAATGATCATAATAAAATAGGCCCAAAGAGAGCAAATCAGTCTCCTTCTGATCCCAGATCTGCCACTTATTAGCCACATATCTCTGGGGTTACTTAACTGATTGAAGTCTTGATAGCCTCATTTTCGGATGGATATAATGATGTGTCTCATTGAATGACTGTGAGAATAAATTGTGGTAGTTTATGTAAAAATACTTAGAGGAATGCCCTTTATGGGAAGTGCTGTATAACTGTTAACTATTAGCATTAATAGCTCTGATAGCTGTGATTTATGGTGTGTCTTCAGTGGGCCAATGGTGCATACTTAACTTGCATTCTAGAAGACTGTATATTAAAGCTATAATCAAATATCATAATACTGCCACATATTATGTGCTTGAGCATATTTTTTAACATATGATTAAAAAGACAGCATTCATGATTTCTTTTGCTTATGTCTTCTTGTTTTAAATACTTTTTTAAAAAGCAGTTACACTTTTTCCTCGTGTTCAACTTTTACTTTTATACACTAAGGAAAGGAGGCAATTATTTTTTTTTTTAATCCTCTGGAGGAAAGGTGGAAATATGGTAATATTATTTGTGTTCAGTGTAAGACAGTTTTATTTATTTTGCCTATAGGAGTCCAATGACTTTTCACAGTACCAGCTCAAAGGCTTGCTTAAAAAAAACTATCTAAACCAGCACATAGAAAATGTCCAAAAGGAAATGAATCAGCAGCACTCAGGACAAATCCAGAAGCAGTATGAAGACGAGGGTGGCTTTCTGAAAGAGGTGGAGTCCAGGCGGGTGGTCTCCGAGGACACCTCCCACTACATCCTGATAAAAGGTAGCGGGCACCATCGTTTATTTGATGGTTAAAAACCAGCATTATGCCATGGCTCTGAATTCGGTGAAAGACCACCTCTGGATCTTATTAATGGAATTCTGCTTATGAAACAATAATTATATATAGCTGCTCATGGATTAACTGTGATGGTACCACCCTGCTTCAAAATTAGCTAATGACTGAACTCTCAGTTCACGATTAAATGCAATTTAAAACTCTATAGGACCCAGTATTCTCTTGTCCGTCTTACCAGAAGTAGAGTGTCACACTGTAGACCTGCGTAGTGAGAAATGTTTTAATTTTTCTTAAGGTATTCAGGCTAAGAAAGTGGCCGCCGTGGATGCAGAGTCACTTCCTTCTTCCAGCAAAATGCACAGTGAATCTTCCGACCTGAAGTCGTCTCCTGGTGAGAAATCGAAGCCAGAGGAGGCGGCCGAGGCCACGCCTCCTTCTCCAGGCACTGTGCGGGCCCTGCAGGCCGCCCTGCTGGGGAGCAGCTCAGAAGAGGAGCTGGACGGTGGGCCGCGAGGGCAGCGCCGTGCCAGGGCCGCTCCGGCTGCCGCGGGTGACGGCTCCGTGTCGCCCCGGACGCTCTCGGCTATCCAGAGAGCTCTTGATGATGACGAGGACGTGGAACTGCACGAGGGGGACAGTGTGCAGGCGCCAGAGCCGGGAGCGAGGACACAGCCTAGGAGGAGTCCTGGTGCGGAGTGTGGGGAAGGACATGAAGGGAGAGGTGGAGCAGGAGCACTGGTGACCGCGGCTGCACCTGCGACCGGCGTGGGCTTTGAAGAGGAGCCCATGGCCGGCAGCAGTGGTGGAAAAGAGCTGATAGACTCTGCTCCTTTGTGGAGCACTGTCGTGCATCAAGGGGGCGGATCTCTCGTTCCAGTAAAGCCGGCGTCACCCACTCAGGTGGTGAACGAAGCCTCTCAGACCAGTGCAGAGTCTGCGGTTCAGGGGAGCAGAGGTCCTCTTCCTTTGGGGCCTACAGAGGGTCCACACAGTGATGCCCCTGCACTCCCCGGAGGCGGGGAACCCACACGGGTGCCCCCCACAAGTGCAGATTCTGAGTCAGGACCCGAGGCACACACTCAAGAGCCCGTGCCGCAGGCAGACCTCGGCCTGTCTGTGAGTCAGCGTGATTCCTCTGTTCTTCCAAGTGATGATGGCACAGAAACTGGACAGAGTCCTGCTCTGAGAGTCACCGGCGCGGGGATTTTACAGGAAATGAGCGCAGCAAGCATCCCTTCAGGGGCAGTTGCTGACTTAGAAGATGCAGGGCCGTCTAGCGCTAAGGAACATGGGAGTATCCCAAAAGCCACTGAAGAACCAGAGGAAACTGAACTTGCAGGCCAGGAGTTCGTTCCGGTTTCAAAGTCCTTGGAGCCGGTGGAAACAGACTCTGAAGAAAGTGAATCTGATGGTAGGTGATGTCTGCTTCGGGGTGCGGACTGCAGGGTTCCATCTCCCCGGGACTGAGAGAGCCTGCAGCTTAGCCTGTGCCCACTTGTTACAGACAGGGACCAGGCGCCAGGGGAGGTGACTTCCCTCCCCAGGGGCAGAGCAGGGAGCGGGACCTGGTCTTCCCTGCTTCGCTCTTGTTGTCGCCGACTTTAAAGGGAGAGAGGGCCCTAGTTGAAGAAGGTGAAACTTTAGCCTTTAACAAAACAAAACAAAACAAAACAAAACAAAACAAACCTTTCTGTTTTGAAATAACGGCAAGCTTTCAAATGTAGAAAGAATATCTCACTGGGTGGCATTTTGCACACTTATCTGATTGTCTCTGTCTCTGGGGTTGGCATGCTTTCTAAACACGTGCACACACAGAGACACACACGCACACACACGCACACAAGATCTGTCTCCTGGTATCTGTGAGGTTTCCGTATTCTCATGTTCCTGTTACCCCATTGGCTTTTTTTTTTTTGTTTGTTTTTCTCCGGTACCGGGAACCGAACTCACGACCTTGGGCATGCCAGGCAGGCGCTTTTGCCGCTGAGCTAAATCCCCAGGCCCCTGTTACCCCATTGGAATGAGTATTTTGTGGAAAGAAATTTGGGGGTTATGAAAACCGTGCTGTGCAGAAACAGCCCCACCCCCGTTTTACTGTCCTATGGATGGTTTTTATCTGAACTAATCGCTGTTATGATGCTTGCCCAGTGCTGGTTTTGTAGCTCATCATTCCTTAACTTCTTGCTGGTCAGCGTCCTACTGTAAGGAAGATCTTTCCTTTCTCATTTCTTTCTAACCAGTGTGGACTCGGAATTCTGGTTTTATCCAGCGAGTTACACTCCGACAATGCCATAACTCACTTTGCTGCTCTCTTTCTCTGAGCTTGGCCGGTGGGGTCCCCTCTCAGCTGGTTCCTGTGGCTTTTGACATTTTTAACGTGATAATTTGAGCATTTTCTTGACTTCTGGCCAGGATGTCCTGGACTTATCTTGTATTTACTCTGTCCCAGGCCTGGCCTCAGACATTTCACTGGCAGCCTGGTTCTTTCAGTGGAGCAGGGTGTTCAGAAACGGTCAGCTGGATGCTGGGTGTGCTGACTGTGCGTCAGGGAACCCGTCTCTACACGCATGCATGCACACGTATACACACAGCACACACACTTATATCTATTTCTGGGTCTGTTTATATTAAGATCCGTGAGTTCATGTTGATACCTATGATTCAATCTGACATCCCGGGGTTGTTCTAGCCTGCTCCATCTTTTTACATTTTCCTAACAGTGGGTAATCCTTCCCCCTGTTGTTCTGTATATTTACTTAAGGGCTTCTTTCTTTATATCTAAACTTCTCCATCCCGCTCTGTCCTCCTTGGCCCCAGCCCTTTCCTCCGTCCTAATTGTCTCATTGCATCCAGCCAGATGGGCCTTACCTACCCCTTCCACTGAAGGGAAGGAAAGGAAACAATACTTATTTTTTAAAGAAAAATACAAGTGAGGAGAGAAGGAAAAGGGAAGAGCTCTTTCTCCTGAGTACTTAGTTGGTCTTAGTCTTTCAGTTTTATTCTTTGCTCTGCTTCTATTGAAATAGCATTAAAACACACTGAACAGCCTGCGTGATTATCTCTATACTTGTGCTTTGATAATTCTCCTTTTTGAACTCTTAAAACAATATTAGTTAACTTAGAACAGATTTGTATAAAGCTAGTATTGAAGTCTGAGGATTTGGTTTCTATTTTCAAAGGCAGTTATCTAGTTGAAAAGGCTTCTTGAAGTTACAGACATTAGTGATGAAATTTATTTACTAGTGGCACGTTACTTACATGTTTTCTTTGGGCGTACAATGTTTTCCAAGATTCTTCAGTACGTCCTCAGGATCACCTGCGTCAGCTGCAGAGGAAGTAACCTTATTATTCTGGTGCAGGGAGTTTCATTGAAGTGCAGAGTGTGAGCAGTGATCGCGACCTTCAGACCGAGTCCAGCGAAGCTTCAGAAGTCTCTGAACAGCATGAGGAGGAACCAGGAGGAACGAAGGAGGAGGAGCCCACTGGTGACTCCCAGCGCCTCCTACAGGACAGCTCGGGAAGCGAGGACTCAGACTTGAAGCCACATGAAGAAGCTGAAAAAGATGCAGATGATTCATTCAATGAATGGCAAGATATTAATTTGGTAATAATGTAACATTGTGTTTTAACTTTATTGGTAAAGAAGCCAAGATAAGTAGGTTTTGAGTGTTAGGCAGTTGCTTGAATATTTATTAGCTGTTTACAGTGCACCTTTCCATCCTTTCTGCCTGGGGCAGACGCCACTTTGCACATGAGTTAGTGAGGGGACTCGAAAGAAGTGCAGAGTTTTGCTGGGAAATGCACGTGGGACACTTCCTAAGGAGGAGAGGCTTACAAAGCACCGGCTTTCTGTACCCAGGGCACCTGACTGGGTTAACATACTTGCAAATGTGAAAAATCATGTTCTAGGAGGAGCTGGAAGCCCTGGAGAGTGACCTTTTAGCGCAGCAGAATTCACTGAATGCACAAAAACAGCAGCAAGAACGGATCGCGTCCACTGTCACGGGGCAGATGTTCTTGGAGAGCCAGGTGGGTGCCGGGCGCCGGCCGCCTGCCGGTCTGTCCCGGACTCCCCGGGGAAGGCCCTGCCTGACTGCTGAAGCCTGCCCCCTTGTGGTCAGGGCGGGTCTCACGTTTCCCCAGGGTCACGGTGTGTCTACCCACAGGAGCTTCTGCGCCTCTTCGGCGTTCCCTACATCCAGGCGCCCATGGAAGCAGAGGCCCAGTGCGCCATCCTGGACCTCACCGATCAGACTTCGGGAACCATCACCGACGACAGTGACATCTGGCTGTTTGGCGCGCGGCACGTCTACAAGAACTTTTTTAATAAAAACAAGTTTGTGGAATATTACCAGTATGTGGACTTCCACAACCAATTAGGTAAGACTTCTATGATCACTTTCTGAAATGTACCCTTGTAATTTGCCACATGAAGTTTTTTTCTTCCTGAGGAACTAATTCGATACTTAATGGAAACGGCACATCTATACAAGTTTTCAAAGAATTGCTTATATAGAGGAATAGGATTTTAAAATTCAACTGAAGAAATTAAAACCTCAGTACCTGTTGGCCTTTTTTGCAGTTTGATCATCTGATTTGGTTAACTGACTGGTTACCAAGATTTCCAGAGTAGACCAGGGGTGAGAGAGAGAGGAAGCGGGTCAAGTCCGTCCTACTCACGGGCCTGCGCTGGTATTCCTGGCCTTGATCGCCTGTTCTTCCGTTTGTCCAGCAGTGTATGAGCGGCCCCTGTGTGCCAGTCATGGGAAAGCAGGTCCAGTAAGAGAAACAGATGATAAATAAGTACATCAGTCATCACTGGACAGTGGGCACTCTGTATTCTATAGGGAAATACAGCAGGAAGGAGAGAAGCGAGCTGTAGTTGGGAATGTGTGCCGTTTGCAAGAAGGGCTTTCTTCAGCGGTCACCTGAGGGCCGGGGCCTTAGGGCGGTGGGAAGCCTATGCTGCAGATCAATGGCTCAGCAAGGTGCTCGTCACCAGGGAGACGCACGTCAGCCTGGGGCAGAAGCTTGTGTAGTGTGTCCCAGGGAAACGAGGGAGCCAGGTGGCGAGGGGGAGGAGGATGGAAGAGGTGCTCTCCCAGAGTGCGAAGGGACTAAAGTCAGGGTGAGGTGGGCGGGGCGTGGGGTGCAGAGGAGGGGGGAGGAGCCAGATTCTGAGCAGCTGGCGGGGTGACCCTGCCCTCTGTGAGACAGGGAGACTGAGGACAGCTCGGAGTGGAGCAGCCAGAGAGGCAGAGCTCAGGTCTGGATGTGTGGGGCTGAGGGCCCGCTGGGCGCGGAGGTGACCGCTGAACGTATGTGACGGTGGTGTAGAGAGGTCCAGGCTCCAAAGCTAACGCCGGAGGTCAGCACACAGAGGGGAGCTAAACATGGATGTGACATGGATGAAACAGAATGCCATTTAAAAATAATCTAGTTTTGAATCACAGAAGAGCTCTCTTTAGCTACTGGATGAGGATATATATATATACACATACATAGCTTATACAATAAAGTGTTTATAAATGCTGTATAAAGATCTTCATCAGATAAGCATTAATAGTAATAATGGTTACTTTCGTAGGATTGGACCGGAACAAGTTAATAAATTTGGCCTACTTGCTTGGCAGTGATTACACTGAAGGAATTCCAACCGTAGGTTGTGTAACTGCCATGGAGATTCTCAATGAATTCCCAGGACGTGGTCTGGACCCCCTTCTAAAATTCTCGTAAGTTCTTTCTCGTTTCTATAATTCACATGCTTTTATAAATATGCTAACAGTGCAATGGCAGGCAGAAACATGGAAACAACACCCAGGATTTGGAGGCAGATTTATTTAGTCAATGGGCACTGACTGGGATCATTCCCAGAATATCAGGCCCTCATCTCTGGTGGTCTAGGGCTTATATGAGATAAGCAAGCAGGAAGTACAGAGGCAGATTGCCTTGTCAATTGGGGATTGGTGTATACTGTGCATCGTAGTGACCAGCTAGGCATCACAGAGACCAGCCATTTCTAAGACACAGGAGCAACCAGGACGGGCACAGGAACTGTCACCCAGGCAACTAACAGACTGAAGTGCACTGGCTGGGTGGGGCATCTTCTGTTACAGTAGAACTATTTCTTAAATCATGAGCTGTCACTAATCCTTACTCGTTGAGAAAACAGGAGTATGGTTGAAATTCCTGCAGTTCGTGTGAAATCAGACTCAGTTTCCTGCGTTAGTTCACAATACCTGCGGTGTTGATAGCAGCGTCTGAGTTGCCATTTCATTCACTCAGATGTTTCTGAGTAGCTTCTGTGTGTCAGTCTGTGCCCACCAGGAGCTGCCCGTGGTCGTGGAGATGGAGGAGGGAGTTTTATCAAACTGTTCTGTGTGTGGAGCATTCTGAGAAAAGTCAGCCAGAAACGGATATGGAAGTACAAGGCCAGGAGCTTTACCTCTGCCCGCTGTCCTGCTTCTCACACTGTGAACACTGTGACATGGCCAGTGGTAGAGTCTCAGTCTGTCCAGAGCCTAGCATTGTGCTGTACACTTGCGTACAACTTTTTGATTTTGGAGACTGTGCTGGTGAGAGTTATGAGTAGGTCTGAGAAGTCACTACTTCTCCGTGATACAGCGCTTGCCTTGACCTGCCTGGGGTTCAGTCCAGGAACTGAAAATAAAGCCAGAATTCTTTAGGTTTGCCCTTGATGGCATCTTTTGTTTGAAGTTTGAAATATAATTTGCATGCCGTAAAATTTACGCTTTTGTTTTTATTTTTTTTCAGTTTTTATTTTTTTATTAGTCCGTGCTGTGGAACGTCATGATCACATTCCCCATGGAGAGTTGGCGCATGCGCAGAGCGCGTCTTAGTTCTTTCACTCCCCCTCGGCACCGGTCCCTCCCCTCCGCCCACCTCATGGTCCCTTCCTTTTTGCAGTTGAGGTGAAAAAGTGTCTGCTATATTCCATTAGGTGCAACAGCAGGTTAGAAAACAGTATCCAGGGCCTCATCGGGTTTTTATTTTCAAAAATGCATTAATGTATAGAGATAGGAAGAAGCCGTGAATGGATAGCAATGTTAAGAAACGGTGTTCACATCACTGTTTTCGTCTGTCCCTGGGAATGAGGTCTGAGCACATTTTTCTTTTTATTTGAGTGTTTTTTGACTGGTGCAATTATAAAATGTCCTAGGTGGAAGAAATGAAGAATTGCTAGAAATCTGTGAGGTGATGGGTAGGTTCATTAACTTGGCTATAGTAATCATGTGATTTTGTGTGTCAAAACATGCTGTTGTGTACCTTAAGTAGACATCACTTTTGTCAGTTATATTCAACAAGTGTGCAGCTCAGTGGTGTTTAGTATATTCGTAAGATTTTGATGCATCTTTTGACAAGCAGTTTGTGATGAGATACCCCGGTAGTAACTGATTTCATTTAATTTAGTGGTCAGTTTCATCTCCAATGCTTAGAAAAATGCAAGGACAGTCTTGTCTGAGGGCGCGGTGGAAAGAATCACTGAAATGGAATGAGAAATGATCGTAATGACCTCCATCCAGTCTTGGCCCACATACCAGTGTCTCTCATTGAGTAGTACTGTTTAAAAGTCTCTCTACTTATACTTCCCGTGTGGTTGAAGGAATTTATATACTATGGATAAGTTATTGGGTAGCTCATAGATCACTGTGGGTAAATAACTTGAAAAACTACAAATAACTTCATTATGCAGATGAAGTAAATGCATAATAGAAAAATTACAATGTATGGATTAAAGGTTACATTTAACATTTTGTGTTACATAATTTTAGATTTCTATATACATTTTGCTCTAATTATATATATTAATATACGTTGTATATATATGTGTTTATATATATATATATATATATTTTTTTTTTTAGCAAGAACGGTATAATGCTGTGTTCTTTTTAGAGTCGGCTTCCCCACTTCCTGCTGTCCGTCTCCTAGCTCCTGAGGCCAGGCAGGTGCGGTCCTCACCGTGCCTGCCTCCGGAGGCCTGGGGAGAGGGCGGCACTAAGGCCCGGAAGGGCGGTGCGGAACCAGAAACCCGGCGCGCGTGTCGCCTCGCTCCCTCTCCCCTTCTCCGCGGCAGGCCCTGGCTAGTTGGTCACCGTTCAATGTGGGGATCCTTGGGACCAGCAGGCTGAACTCGGTCTCACCTACATGGCGCACTCTTTAATAGAACTTTATTGTTACACTGTCTCCGAATGTTTACATTTAGGGAAATTTCACACACAAATTGTCGATTCTCTTGAGGGCCAGAGGGGAGCTCGACGTAGTGGACCCGAGTTCTCAGGTAGCTCCTCAAGCGGCTGGGTGAGTGACAGCAGTTCCCCTCCGGGTGTGAACCCCTGAGGCTCTTCACGCTGGTCACCACGCCCCGCTGCGTCCCCACAGCTAAGCAGATCGGCACACACCAGCTTTTTTCATCTCACGTCGGGGTCTGGCCCCCTTGCTTTAAGGAGTAATGGTTTCTGGTTTGATGAGCTCACAGTGTGTTGGGCAGATTCCCCTAGCTGTCGGTCATGAGTACGGTCTCAAAGACGAAAATTTACAGGTGAAGTGGGGGAGGATTATAGGTGTTCCCCCAGTGCACTCTTGGAAGCTGTATTGTGAAATCTGTGTTTGAAGAAAAAAATATTTTTTGTTTGCATTTATACAACAAAGACTGCGATTGGTTTTTTGAACACAAGATGGCACTCTTGCACCAGTGAAATGAAGCACTGAGCGCTCTGAAACAAGTTCCTCACAGTGCTAGTGTCAAGCAGTGGGGCCGAGATACAGGAGTTTCCCGATAGGTCCCACTCAGTGCGCGGATGGGAGAGGGTTCCATTTCTGCGGTGCTGTTTGTTTTTCCCAGTGGTAGTCTTTTTGTCTACTGTAGGTGCGTTACAGTCTTAAGCCTTAGTGGCATCAAGTGGCAAGAGTCACTGATTTTGCTCGTGGATGTGCAGTTCGGCCAGGCCTTATGGGTGTGTTTTCTGTCCCCTGCTAGTTGGAACAGCTCGGCTGGGCTCCAGGTGTTGCCCAGGATGGCAGAACACATCGGCCGGGTGGCACTGTCACTGCCGTCCCGGGCAGAGCAGGCTGAGGGGCTGTGGCCGCTCCCTGTGGACTGTTCATGTACTCGGGCTTCTGCAAGGCCGGGCGGCCGATTTCGAGAACAAATATTCCAAGAGACAGGGAGGAGAAGTAGAAACCATCGTCTCAGGCCTGCACGGCACCATGTACCGTGTGCTCCTCGGCCCATCAGAGCCCGCCTCCCCTCCCTTCTTGGTGGGGGGAGTGCCAAAGGTACACCGTTTTCTCTAAACTACCATGGTGAAATGGAGTTAGAGTGAAAGATGGGTGAAATATAAAGGAGGAAATAAGCAGCTGTATTCTTGCTTGGAACATTGCTTGGCACATAGGAAAATAGTTTCTCTTTGAAATGTCTGTTTACTTTTTTCTTTTTCTACATACATGCTTTCGACATGCGTACATGATAATGTCTTAGTTGACGTTCCTGGATCCATCATTTAATTTTACTGGCGGTAAATAATGCAGATACATTATTTCCATGTTACTGCTGGGAGAGCAGTTGTGACTCCTAAGGTATCGGAATCACGAGTGAGTTCTCTGAAGAGGGTCGTCGTCTCAGTGTACCAGCTCCAGCTATGAAATCCTGAGTAGTTCTGTTTCGGTTCGGTTTCTTCGTGAGCTGAAGGCGATGGTGGGGTGCTGCCTGTGTGGGTGCTGGGCCCATCAAATGTTTAACACAGTGCCAAGGGCAGAGTAAGCCTCCAGTGAATGTTCACCGTCACGTGCCTGCGGCCACAGTACTAAAGATAATGAAATTAGTTTTCAGTACAGTGTGTAATTTGGTTGGAGTTAGGACTTGAGTCTACATATCAGAGCTTTGTGTGCATCTCTTTATCTCCAGTGATGAATGATAATGTCGTACTGCTCTATACGTAATTGTTTCTTTGATGTTCTAGAGAATGGTGGCATGAAGCTCAAAAGAATCAGAAGATCAGACCCAATCCTTATGACACCAAAGTGAAAAAGAAGTTGCGGAAGTTGCAGCTCACACCCGGCTTCCCCAACCCAGCGGTCGCGGACGCTTACCTCAGGCCCGTGGTGGACGACTCCAGAGGGTCATTCCTGTGGGGCAGACCTGATCTCGACAAAATTAGAGAATATCCTTGACTTCTTAAAACATAAGCGGACACGGAGCCATGTACACGGGCAGCTGAAAACTTACAGAACGCCTCTCCGTGGTCTCTCAGCTGTCTAAGGCCCTGCCTTCCTCCTCACCTGTCTCGGAGGGAAACAGTGATCGCATCGTAGGTGCAACCACACACTTGAGTGTTGCTTATTCTGAACAATAGAGAAAACAATTAACTTTGGCCTTTCATTACTGTTCTTTCAGTCTGTGCATTTAAGTAATCATTTGGATAGTAGTTTAGAAAGTTATAATAGAATTACTCTAACTACAGTTGATTTTTTCCTCTCTAAGAAATACAGAGGAGATCTATTTTAGGTTAAGCTTGTTTTCCGTAGTCACTAGGTTTTCATGCCTAAAATGTTGAATAATTTCATTAGAAGTTTGAAAAGGACATACTGCATGACAATCATGTGGGAGTCATTTTTTATTACTCTATTTTGACACTTTAATCTTTACACATGTGGAAATCTTTGGAGATACAGGGAGTGGAGTCAAGAGTGGGTGCTTTGGGCCTGTATTTATCACTTGTTTAAAAACTTTCAAAAACGTGTATAAGTCTTAACTACCTGCACATTTTGTCAGCGGTATTTCGGCTGGAACAGGACTAAGACAGACGAATCTCTGTTTCCAGTCTTAAAGCAGCTGAGTGCCCAGCAGGTAACCGCGGGGGCTTTTCGCAGCTCAGGGAAGAGCTGGCTTAGTAAGGCGTGATTGGCAGCTGTTCAAGACCAGTTAACTCTTATTTGGGGACATCAGCATACATTTTGAAGCGATGATATTTGGGATGAAGGACAGAGGAAAACAGTCTTCATTTCCGGTGTCCCTCTTGGGGCTGGACTCAGGTGTCCTCTTCTGCCCACCCTGCTTTGCCAAACACCAATCTAGTAATCATCTTCATAGCAAGGCATTTCTGACCTAATATATTACCCCTTCGGAATTATTTTCATTTCTTAAAACCTTAGGAATCACTGTCGTCTAATCATTAAAGCTTCTTCACGTGCTGGCCCGGTGTAATTTACAGTTTGTAACTGAAACTTGAAAAGTAGAAGTTCACTTGGCGGGAGAGGTTTTGAGAAGAGCAGCCCTTGGGCTGAGCTGCCTTAGCCAGCTCTTGCCTTCCTGCTGTGCTCCTGCTCGCCTGAAACAAGCCCCTCCCCGCCTTCTCACTCAGGAGCTAGCCACAGAACACACACACAGAAGCCATTTAGCCGAAGTAAGGCCGTACCTGCTAAGATAAATCAATTTCTATTAAGTTGGATTCATTTTGAGGAAAAAAGCCGCACAGAACTGAGATAAACAACATTTCCAGGAATTTCCCCCTTGTTCGATGATTTTTATCTACTGGAAACAAACCAGCTGAGACTGAGAGCTCTTTCTTCGTGACTGATTGCTCCTTACCTGCAGATAAACTTCATTGTAATGCTTTCCCCCTTTTTATTACAGGACTTATTATAGGCTTATTTCTCCAGAATTAGAAAAGTAAAGACGATACATTAAACTACCTACATGCGTCCTTTAACACAGGTGTTAGCATTTAGGCTTATTTCCCCACATTTATTTGTTAGCACACCTAAGTGCAGCTTTGCATAGTTAATTCCTCTCCTTCTTGCTTATTAGCATGCATTTTTTCTGTGTATTCCATAGTTTTCATAATTTCACATGACTGTTTTATGTTTTATTAAGGAAATTTAAAGTAGTTCAGTTTACTGAACCTTTAATTTTAGGTTTTGACAGTGTCAAAAAATGTTCCCATATGTAACTATATTTTTTAAAGTATCTCCTCCAAAGTGGGTTTGCTGGACAAAGGATATGAATATTTCTTATGGTACCTGTATATGCTGTGAGCTTGCCTGAGTGTATTATATGTTTTTTTTTTTTAAAAGCAGACAATATGACTTAAATACACACCCTTTGAAATTTGATTGCTCCTAAGAAGGTGATGTATTCAGTGGCAGAAAAATATTTCACACTCTTTGAGTACCTAAGAAGAGATTTCCTGCTTGAGATATGAACTAAGAACTTACTTGCTGGCCTTAACAGAAGAAGTGCGTTAAGTCTGACTTAGAAATTACTGAAATTTACTGTCTTCATTCGCTGGGAGAGAACTGGCTTTTGGGGGATAATGAGTTACTGTTCTTTACACTAGTAATCCAGAGTGAACGGTCAAGGTTGAGCTTGTTGATTTGGCTTAGAAACTTTACTTGTCTGACTTACCGTTTTGTTTCATTTTAGACACAGCTCCGAATTGATTCTTTCTTTAGAGTAGCTCAGCAGGAGAAACAAGAGGCCAAACGCATCAAGAGCCAGAGGCTCAGCAGAGCTGTGACATGTATGCTGAGGAAGGAAAGGGAGGAAGCAGCCAGTGAGGTGGACACAGGTTCTGCTGCCATGGAGAAAGAGCCTGAGAGCCTTGACGAGGTAAAGGGACAAACTCGGCAGAGACACCCAGCACAGAAACCGAAAGAGGCGCCAGGCACGAAGAGACAGCGGCTCTCAGAATCTCAACAGGAGAGTCAGTGTGGGGGGTTTTTGGGGAAGACCTACCTCTCCGAATCACCGGGTGCATCTGCGGGTGAAGATTCTGGGAGTTTACCTTTGCTGAACGTACGGAGGAGAAAGGCAGCTAAAGACTCGAGAACGAGCTCTTCAGCTTTGCGGAACTCGGTGCAGGAAGCCCCCACGCAGGACGGCGGTGGGACCACCAGCAGCTCTAGCGATGACGAGGGAGAGAAGGCCAAGGCCGTCCTGGTGACCGCCAGGCCTGTGTTTGGGAAGAGAAGGAGGAGACTGAGACGTGCAGGAGGAAGGAAAAGGAAAACCTAATTCAGAAATCTGTATTCCCTGTGATGACGTGGGACGACATTTTGTAATGAATTTTGTTGTGAGAACAGTATAAAATTAAGTGTCTTTGTATAGTCTTTGTACTGAGTGTGTGATATTTTAATAAAAGAAATAGATGCTAAAGTTAGTTTTATTTCACTGTGTTGTTTTTCTGGCATTTTCTACTTCACTGAGTATTTCTTTGCATTCACAGGCTTTGTCTTCATGGTTTTACAACGTCTTATGCTTTCTGACCGCATTAAAAAAAAAGAATTTGTATTGATCAGCACTTCCTCTCAATATGCGTTCTGTGTGACTCGCACCTAGACAAGAGGACAGAGACTCACATTTTTCATTCCACAGGAGTGGCAGTTCTAGCAACTAAGTAAATTCCTGCCCCCTACTGCTTGCCATTTTCCCTCAGGCTGTACTTAGAAGGATAGCAGGAGGAAACCGCACTGCTGGAACATATCTGAAGAATATGTTTGCTGTGGTTTTAGCAAATAGTTAGGAAACCTAAATGGGATACATCCTCCTACCTGGGAGCATTAACTATACGGGGACCCCTGTAACGTAGTATTTGGCTTTTAAGCTACTTCAGTCGTCAGAAGCTGACTTGTGCGTAAACGCACTTGGAGGTTCAGGGCTGTCATTAAACTGGTAGATGAGTACCCATTTCAGGAGTGACTCGCAGCGCTTCATTGTTGACACAGGTGTCCTGATTGCTCCTGCGGAGTCCTCCCACAAGAACTACTCCCAAACTACCGGTTGCTTAGAATTAGGAAATAGCCAAGGATGGGACTGCCATTCAGTTTGAGCCTGGGGTCCTCTGCCCTGGAGTTACGTTAGCTTTCTGTCATTGTGACAGAACACCTAAGAAAATCAGCTTAAAGGAGGGGACATTCATTTTGGCTCATGGGTTCAGAGATTTCTGTCCATGGTTGGCTGGCTCCATTCCTGTGGCCTTGTGATGAGACTTCTGTCAGGTTTCAGCCTGTTTAGCCTGTGATTTGATTGGGTGGGGTCTGGCCAGTTCCTGGGAGATCTTCAAGGGATCTTTTCTCTTAGTGCAAAGTACTGTATCTCAGTATCAAGGCAGGGGCAGTGTGTGGTGGAGCAAAGCTGCTTACCACATGGGAGGCCGGAAGCAGAGGGAAAGCCAGAGAGGAAGGGTTGGGGACAAAATACACCCTTGAAAACCACACTTCCCAGTGACCTGCCCCATCTATTAGGCCCCACCTCCTAATAGGTCCACTGAGCTGGGCACTTAACAGTTAATCTACTAGTTGAAGTTAGAGGCTTCATAATCCAGTCACTTCTCAAAAGCCCATCAACTAGCAATGAAGCCTACAACACAGTGAGCCTTTGGGGCACGCTGTGGATCCCAATCACGATATTCCACTCCTGCTGTCACAGTGCAGAGTGCAGTTAGTCTGTTCCCTACAGTTTCCAAAGTCTCAGCAGTTCCAGCATTGCTCGAAAGTCTAGTCTAAAGTGTCCTCTGGGACTCAAGGCAACTCTTAGATATGAGTCACAGTAAAAATCAAAAAGCAAGGTACAGACTCCCAGGACACAATGAGACAGGGTGAATATTCCCATCCCCAAAGGGAGGAATGGGGGCATAACAAGAATTGGGCTGAAGCAAGACCAAAACCCAGCGAGACAAGCATGAAAGCCATAGCTCCATGTTTGGGATCTGGGGCATGTGATGGTGTGGTGTGGGCTCCAAAGTGTTTAGATGGCCTCATCCATATGGCCTTACTGGCTGTAGCAGGTGTGACCTCCTCGGCTGGGTGTGCTCACTGCAGCTTTCCTTGGTAGATACTCCATGTTCTTGGCATCTCTTACTTCCTGAGGACTTCATTGCAGCATTGGTCTCATTCTCTCAGCTTCATGCACCACCTTCTTAGGGACTTCCTACAGTGACTCTGACTGGCCCTGTCACACATTGCTGGGTCTCCCAGGCCTGCTTTAAAATCTGAGTGGAAAGCTCTATGACCCTGTAATTCTTTCTGCATGCTTGCAAAACCAACACCACATGGATGTTTGCAAGGTCTGTTGTTAGTGGTACCAGTAGTTGGGCCCACTTGGATCATAGTTGCTGTGGTCTCTGGGTATTTGGGCAGCTTTGAGGTAAAATGAGTTGTGGGGAAACAACTTTCTAGGTGGCCCTGTGGCAGAAGAGTGCCCTGATGCCCTTTTCTCAAGCGATGCCTTTCAAACGAGTTTACACTTACACGTTTAGCCTGTGATTTGGTGGTGCTGGTGGTGGGGATCCTGAAAGGCCTTCAAGGACTCTCTTATCTCAGTGCAGAGTAGCCCCCCCATCCCAGGCTGGTCTTGAACTTGTGATCTTCCTGCCTCAGTCTGTCAAGTGCTAAGATTACAGGCACGTACCACCATATTTGACCAGTACTTTCTAATGGTGCTAATGCTCCAGCAATCACACCTTCCTGAGTTCCAACTTTACTTGTACTTATTTTCTGAACAGCCTGTAAATTTTTCAAATCTTGTTCTTCTGCTCTTTGCTCATGAGTCTCACTATCAGCAAATGGCTCAAGCAGCCAGCAATATCTGTACCACAGCCTGAATGCTGTGTTGCCTTGAAATTTCCTCCACAAGATTACCCCATTACTTTTAAAATTGGCCTCCCACAGAGACTCAGGACATGGCCAAGATGTAGACTCAACAGTTGGGCCAGTCTGAGCTGGTGAAGGAGTTGCCACGATGAGGTTATTCAGAGCTCCATGTTCAGTGATTCCCTAGGTGGTTTTATGTGAGTTGTCTACACTGGGTGGACCACGACACCCATAATTCAATCTGCTGAAAGGGGGGAAACAAAAGTTCAGGCCAAGTGGAATGTCTTACATCAAGGGGGGCTAGAAAAATCACTTTTCCATTTTTTTTGAACCTAAATGAGCATATGGCTATATGTAGTTCAGAAATGTAATTTCTACCTGGTTTGTGTGCCTAGGAGGAAGGGGGGAAGCAGATTAGATTATGAGAAGCATATGCTATGTGATATTTCTAGAACAGTTTACCAGTACAGTATGTTCTCTTTTTAAACCTGATGACCAAAGAAAAATCTAAAACTGCAGGAACAAGTTTAGAGATACTAACTTACTTGGCCGAATCTACCCACCTAGGAGACCTTCCCAAGATGGTGGAACAAGGCACCCAGAACTCCAATTATACAGAATTAAAAGAAATGCAGTATATCTCCCTGCTGAAGTGAATGACCATGGGAGAATGCTGGAGTTCAGTAGTGCATAGAGCCTTGAAGAAACCCAGAGATGTTGGATTGTAGTTTTACCAGCTTGCCTTTCTATTGGATGATACTTGGCAGCAGGATTCGTTGTAGATTTTTGATTGTATGTCTCCCTGATCAAACTTTATTCACTGGCTGTGGTACTGTGTGAGTTGGGCCTTTTCCCTAAAGTGAAAATGACCATGAGAGGTAAACACTTTGCATCAGTTCAGAACACCAAGGCAGCCATGACAGCACACTAAAAACACCAAGAAGTACTTCCAGAGCTGCCACAGAAGCTGGCAAGAGTGAGAGGATAAGTGTGTACAAAGTAAAGGGGAGTATTTTGAGGGGAAATACTACTGTGTCTTTTACTGTAATAAATACAAAAATTAATCCTTCACTAGTGTTTGATCATGCCTCATCTGTAAAGAACTAAGGAATTTAACAAAAGAATAATCCAAACAAAATATACAATTGATCTAAACAGATACTTCTCAAAGGAAGCACACAGAGTTAATAAATATGTGAAAAGTGCTCCATGTCTTTAGCCACCAGGGAAACGCAAATTAGAAGTGCACTAAGAGTCCGTCTCACGCCAGTTAGAATGGCTACTATGAAAAAACTGGTGAAGAGGTGGAGAAAAAGGAACCCATAGATTCTATTGGTGGGAATATAAGTAAAACTTATATTAAAGTAAAACTAATTTGGAAAACAATAACTAAAAAACTGAAAACTAAAAAGAGAACTGCCATGTGATTCAGTCATCTCATGCCTGGCTGTAGGAAATGAAGCCAGCATACGAGACCTGCATACCCATGTTATTGTGATGCTATTCTTGATAGCTGAGATAGCGAATCACCCCACATACCCACCAACAAGTAAGTAGATACATTTCATATAAATATATGTATGTAGCCGTAAAGAAGAGCGAAAAGCAAGTTGAGGTACCTTTAACTTATTTAGCTCATGGTCATCCTATCTTTTTTCTAAAATTATCTTCTAAATCAGTAATCTTTTCATTATATTTGCCATTCAACCCACGTGTTGAGTTCTTTGCTTCATTTATTATTTTTCAGTTCTATTTGGCTCACTTTTATAGATTCTAGTTTTTTGCTGTAATCATCTTTATCTGTTTTTGATCATCTTAAACACAGTTACTTAAAGTCATATCAAATAACTCCAATTCCCAGTATGGATTTCCTAGCGTGCCTGGTAAATTTTGACTTAATGCTGGACATTATGTACTCAAAATTGTAGATGTTCTAGATCTCCCTCTGTAGAGGCTCCCAGAAGGCATTTTAACAGGTAGCAAGGGGAAGACCACCTCAACCCAGTCAGGACTAAGCAGATTCAAATCTGGTGTGCAGTTTTTGAAAGATTCCAGTTTCCATTTTCTCCCCATTCCTAGAAGCCAGTTTTGCAGGGGAATCAACTGAAATTCTGCAGCGTTTTTCTCTTCTTTTGAGATTTGCTCTGCTATTTGCCTCCATGCTTTGAAAATCAGCCTCTTGTAATAGACAGAATAATCAGCAAATGCTCTGTTTTAAGGTCAGTGCTGAGTGTCAGGTTTACTTGTTTGTCTTTTCTTTCTGGGATCCTGGGCCCTCAATTCCTGGTTGCCCTGCCAGCCCCAAACACTCTCCTTTTATGTCCCTGGGTGAGTGAGTTTGCCTGAAGCTCTGAGTTTTTTAACAAATGTCCTCTCTGCAACCTCTTAGCCTCTCTCTCTCTTTCCCTTCACCAGCAATCACAGTAGTGCATGGAATTCTTGGCTTCCTTGATGGCTCTGATATTGTTTAATAGAAGCATGTGTGTGTGTGTGCTTAAAAACCTGCTTTTCTACTTTATAAAAGAAGCACAATTCACTGTAAGGTGCTTAGAGATGAAGGCAAAGTCTCTATATAATTTTTCCACTTTTCAGAGTAACTGAAATTATCATTGTCATCATATTTGTTAAGATGATTGATTTAGAGATTCTGCTTTTTAAGAAATCCAGCATTGAAGATTGCATAATCTTTCAAGTAACTCCTTGAAAAAGACATAATTTTTAGTCATCAAGTAATTCTTTATTCTTGTTTTTAAAGAGAGAATATCCTTTGATAGGATTTTGTACTTTGTAGAATGTTTTAAACCTACAGTATTCACCGCAACTATACTATCATGTGCATTTTATATCTCTGTTTTATAGACAAAGAAGTCAAGACACATACTAAGCAAATCTCATTATTGACGGGAATAACTATAATTAGACTTCCTGACTCCTAGTCCTGTCTAGTACATTAAAGTAATCGCAGTTCAGCTCTGTATTTACACCGTGGTATGTAAAGTGGTTTTGGACTCACACTCCTCCGATTAACTCTGCAGTCTTGGCTGGAACTTTATGTTAAGGAGGATGTTTTCAGTGACAAGTGTGTTCTGAGATGCACACCTCCACACACGGGCAGGTGCGCAGATGGACTTACCCTCCCTCGCCCCTCCCTCTAGGCTGCCCATTCAGAGTAGGAAGGAATCATGGTAATTTGATTCCCGGGTGCAGAGCAATGTTGCACACATCCTCAAGAATCCTGGATTCTAAAAGCAGTGTTCACACCTAGACAGGTGACATTGAACAGTACGTGGCTTCCATTTCTGAGGACGTCATAGCCATCGACTCTTAGAATAACTCTTGGCATTGAAGCTGAAAAAAAATTGGATTGCTTCCTTCAGTCTCCACTCACTTGCAGTGGTTTGTATTCGCTGGTTAACTCTAGCTCAATTCATGAGCTATCTGGAAGGGATATTTCGACTGTTCTTTAGCCCCCCTCGTTACAGGCATTCCAGCCTCACTGTTGCATAACCAGGAGCACTGAAGCTGCAGCTGTCAGGATCTTAATCCCTTCTGCTTGAATCTCCTGCCAGCGTGTACAGTAGTAAACCGTGTGCTTTGGTGCTCCCGTTTCAGGCACTACCAGAGGAAAACAAAAGTGGATGAGATAACTTTTAACCTTCTAGAACTCAACTACCCCATTAGGTATGTCCAGATTTAACATTTAATACATATTGGCCTTCAGGAAGACAGGTATAATAAAGACTGCTTTCTGTAATGGAAGAGATATTACATTGGGAGCAAAATGTGTGTCTCGTTATTGTTTTATCTGTGTGACCTTGGTGATGTTATTTAACCTTGGGTTTTCCTTGTTTGTGAACTGTACAAAAAATGATCTTGCTTCTAACTTACTGAGACACACTGTAAAGAAAAATGTGCTGGCTGTGAAAAGTATTTTGAGATCTTTGGAAGAAAGGAATGTTATATTAACTTATAGTACAGAGTGACTATTTGTTCTCTGATATCAAATTGAGAAGTACAGACAAAAGTTTTGTTTTCCAAAGGTTGAATAACAGCTCATGTAAGCTAATTCTGATGGCCTGTTTGAACGGAATAAAAGAATTTATTCCATCTTAGATGTTTGCTGGGATGGTGTGGACCCTTTAAGGCAGAAGTTACTACGCAAAAGACCATCTGGCAGTTGGGCTGTTCGACATTGCAGACTTGCTAATGACACATTGATGAGAACAAGTGAACTTTGCATTCATTGCTAGGAAGATTTATTTGAGACTAGTGTTACAGTTTTCACCACAAGGAGCAAAACCCATTTCTTACCAGTGTTTTAAAAATCACCTCTCAGACTGTAGAATTGCTGTCTTATCAGCCCGTATGATGCAGATGCTTGTCTTTATGACAGCGGAGGCAGTTTCTGGTGAGGAGTGTGTTCTCTTTCTCTAGCAGCTTTCAAAATTTCTGACTCTGAAACCTTTGTTCCAATATTTATTTGTACTAGACCGTATTTAGATGGTCTTTCTTAAGTCACTCTTTGTTAATATACAACAGCTTAGTACAGTTTTCTCAGCCCTGTCTGAAGTTTATAAGTATAAATACACTTCATACGTATTTTGAATTACTGCTGCTTGATATTTTGATGTATTATTTGCCTAGTCCTCAAGAAACGATCAAGAAAATATCAAAATATAGCCACCCAGTAATTCATCACTGCATGGATCCAGGAGGTCAAGAAGGTAAATGTTTTTTGTGTATGTGATTCAACCAATTCTAAGATAAATAATTAGACTGTAAAGTCTGACTTCTGCAGTGCTCATTTATGACTAAATACACTAGAACATTGCTTCCCTCTTGCTCAGCAGTTGGGTCAGGACTTTCAGTAATTACGTTTTATGTCCTGGCTTGTGTGCCCTAACCTCAAACATCTCCACTAATATTTCATGCCTACTGCTATCACACCAATGGAGCTGATGCTATGGTAGAGGTGATTGTGACAGACAATAAATTAAATATATAGACTATTTAGAGTTTTCCTTTGATTTGCAAAAATAATTGTTCCAATGTGCCGTACATGAAATACATGATTGTGATTTCTAAATTATTTTATTTCAGGTAAGAAACTGGGAAGACAGAAAAATATTTCCGTGTAAAAATTCTGAATGAATTTTTTTTTTTCTAAATGAATTTAGGCTGGAAAAACATCTTTCAGATGTGTTCATAGTCCATTTTGCTATTTATTAATTAGAGGAAAATATATAATATAATTTGACCTCTGGATAGAAAGAGAATTTAAATTTGAATTTGGCTACAAGTTTAATTCTTTAAAATTGACCCACCATTTTCACATAGCCTTAAATATGAAGTAGGACACTGCATGGATTATGTGATATAACTGTCCCCATTGTTTGGGACAGAAAGTGCAGACCTATATTCTTGGCATAGTCTAAAGAATCACCATGTCTTTGTAGAGCAGCTTTCATACAAATCTAATTGTTTTGGGTCTTTCTGTCTCTCCTTCCCTTTCCTCTCTCTCTCCCCCTTCCCTCCCCATCTCCCTCCCTCCCTCTCTCTCTCTCTCTCTCTGTCTCTTTCCCTATATTTTGCACTGTGTATGTTTTGTAAGAACTGCAGAGCTGTTTCTTCCCTCTTTGGCTACACCATGTGGCTTCTACCTAGGTGAGCGCATATTCAGGTAGAGAGAGCCGGGCACATGCCTAGGCTTGGCAGCCTCTCTGGCTCACACGGCAAGGGTTCCACTGCAGCAAGTTTTGCAAACCTGAAGATGTAAGTTGTAATCACTTAGAGAATGTAGCCATTTAGGTAATTTGAGCAAAGATGTAATTTCTGGGTGGTTTATGAATAAAATTACATCATTATCATTACCATTAGTAACAATTCTTGGTTTCTACTGTGTGCATGATAATTTGGCAAATTACAAAGAAAATGGAAGAAGTTCAAGGTAAGGTTGCGACAGAGCTAGTATTAAAATATTTTATAACATGAACAAACATACCCCATAATCATCTACATAGCCAATTAAAGCTTTAAAAATATGTTCAAAAGCACAGTGCTAAAGGGATTAAGTGTGTGCTATGGGCCCAGAGCCAGATGGCATTTCATTGGTGAGATTTCCCCCATGGAGAGGAACACTCAGTTCTCAAGTCCTGAGTGATACTGATTTGTCTTGTTCTAACGCTCTTATACTTAGTATCTTGTGTTTGGAAAGGATGCAGCAAGCCAGAGCTCGGCTCTCACATTTCAACACAGCAAGAAGATCCAATAACTATAACATGTCATTTATTTATGCACAGATTAAAACTAGCATTAGGGTGAGTACTAAAAATTTCTTTCTATATGTTTCCTAGGCTGCATTATCATCCATATTGTCTAAAGCTTTATCCAAATGATCAGTTGCAAGTATGCTGTGTTTGCCTTCTTCGTGCCAGCGGCTCCACGTTAGCTGTTAGCACATGCAGCCCAGGGTTATACGGTAGTCATCTCCTGAGGCTCTGTGCTTGGAGCAGATGCATCTTCACTCAAGGTTCTTCTGCACAGTGATGCCCAAATATGCCGTTTGAAGTGCTTTATTTGACAGCATACCTGCTTCCTTGTGTCAGTTTAGACCCTTCCAGAACTGCCAAAAATCAGATCGAGCACACAAGGGATTTATGTGGGGAAGGTGTATGGAGGACAGAGAAGAAAGGCACTGCAGCCTGCAGAGGGAGCTTTCAGGTTACAACACGGGCGTTAGGCCTGGGTGCAGAGACCGCTGTGTGGATTGGGAAGGAAGAACTTCTGGCTGCTATCCAGGTCTCAGCAGGTCTCAGGCAGGCCATGGAGAAGCCCTGAGCAAGAGTGGGGCACTAGAAGAGCATGCCTGATGGAAAGAGCTGGCTTCAGTCGGCAGCCGCAGTGGGGAAGTGAGGTCTCCCTGGAACCGCAGTTAGAGCAGCGGGCGCTGTTGGGCTACCGTGTGCCTTGCGGCTGGGTCTCTGCGGCTCAGTCGCCACTTTCATAGCCAGCACGTTATTCCACAGATTAACATGTATTTCCCTTTGCAGATTTGCCCCTTTGCCTATATGTTCTGTCTCTGTGTATCCTTCGCCACCCAGAAGTGTGGCTTCCTTCCAGTCTGCTCCCTCTCCCTCAGCTTCTTCATCTTTGCAGCCTGTTGGTTTTACCTCCTTAAAGCTTCCCTATCCTTCATTCCCTGTTTCCAGCTCCGATTGCCTTGATTCTGGTCTTTATTATTTCTTTTCTCTAGTGTTGTTAATTGCCTTTAATTGGCTGTGTCATTCTGGGCTAAGCTTCTTTACCCTATTTCTTTATCCGCAATGGAGCTTACGTGACATTTTTAAAATTCAAATCTTGTCACAGTTGTCTTTGCTTAAAATGCTTCAGTATCTCATTATTTCCTATAGGCTAAAATGGAGACTTAACTGAATGGCAGAAAGTATTTTATCTCATGCTGCTCACCCCACTTTTACATTTTAGTTCTCAGAGTTTCCCAAATTGGAAAATCGGTCAAGAGACTTTTGGCCAGATGGCCTTTGCACGTATCACTTTCTATGTATGGCATGTCATCCTTACTTTATTTGCTTGGCAAACGTATGATCATGAAGATTCAGATAATTCTCTGTTGAGTTCTCTGAAATGTGAGACTTTGCAGCTTTGAATTGTCTAGTTAAGCCACTGTTACAGCACTTATGTTGGTTTGTCTTCCTGTTCTAGCCCTTAGATGTTCAGTAAATTAGCAAATGAATAAATTTATCTGAGGACTCTTGGCTGGACTTAATTTGCCCATTAGCAATGATAATGTATTTCTGGTCACCGTGCAGTTGACTTCCTTTAGGACCTTGTATAAAGTTCTACTTAGAGCATCACAAAATCTCTTGGGAAGATTTTTATAAATCTTTCTAGAATTGGAATAATGAGCAATATGGCTTATATTAATAATATTGCCTCAATATATGAAGAAGAGTTTATTTGAAAAATTTTACCTTTAGTTAGAAAACCTATCAAATGGCCACCTGAGGTAGTATATCCCTTGAACTAGTTGAGGTACTATATAGCACCTATGGTTACTAATTTGAGAATCACTCATGAACACATTTTAAAAGTTTAAAAAGTAACCTGAATAAATATCTATTAAATAAGGCCAGTCTTCCACATATTGAATAAAAATAACTCTTAAATTTACCAATTTACTTCATATGTCTTCAAAACTTAGACCTGAATGTCAAGTTTGAACGGCATTTGCTATCCTCGTGGTGTAGGGGGGCCCTACAACACTACAACAAAAAGCACACAAATTACCACTTGGCCCCTCACTCATGACTGCAGCGTTCACTCAGACCCTTCCTGTCTCTTGTCTAGATTTGCAACAGCCTCCCAAGTAGCTTCTAGCACTGCTGTCTTTCAGGTGGTGCGACAAGATGCAGTTCCTCAATATCACACCTGTGTGTCAGGTCCTCCCCTGACAATCTTCCCAGTTTCTTCCTTACCTTCTACAGGTCTCCTCTCAACTTACTTGTTAAGGATGATTTTCTAAATGATCCAAGATGCACCTCGATCTTCTCACAGCTCCCTGAGGGCAAATGACTGTTCTGAGATCTGCTTCCTAATTGTATGAACTGGTGTTGCTTCCATAGCACTTTAAAGATGTCTCTTCTTAACACTTACCAAACATCACTGGCATTGGGTTCATGTCTTTTCTTCCATGATTCCAGTAGCAAAATTTAAGAGAAACTACTTTAGGTTTTTTTTTGTTGTTGTTGTTTTGCTTTCCACTTGAATCCTGAGGAGTATCAATAAAGATGAATTTTATTGGTCCTGTAGAGACATGAAATCTAGTGTTGTCTCACCTACATTAGTTACAGACTATACATTTCTGAAATGAAGCAGAATGACAGACAGAAGTATTTGTGGAATCTTCTCAGGAATATATTTCAACATAAGGACCCATGATCTCGACTTGCTGAGGTGTTTAGAATTGTGTATTTCAGGTCAGCCATGGCCAGGTAGTAATCCGAAAATATCTTGAACATTTTTTTAATCTGTAGGAATTTCTACAAAGCATATGACAGTCATCTTTGAATAGAAGATCAGTTGAATGGCAGTCTCTTTCACTTAGGAGAGTGGTTTTTACTTTGAATTTTGCTGACAGGCTTTCATGACAGCCCTCAGATAGGCACTTGAATTCACTTGTCATAGCTATTAAAGGGTTAGTGAGCCACCCCTCCCCTTTTGAGTGTATTTTTGTGCTCTGACCTTCCATTTATTACTGTTCTTACTGATCTTAAAGTTGTAAAAGAGAAGAATGTAGACAGAACCTCTGTTTTGGAAGGCTTGCTGCAATTCGGCTCTGAAGTAAATTCACATTGAATTTTCCTCAAGCTAATCATCAATGTGATGTGGCAGAATCTTGCTAATTTTCACTTCATACTTGAAATGCCTTTAGTTCTCAGGAGAACAAGAGCACCTGGTAGATTTTAAATCACTGTCAGCAAAGATGTGAGAACAGGCAAATGATGTTAAGACTTTCGCATGAAGAAGCATTAAAATAGATAAGCCCAACATAGCAGCATGATTGCAGTTCTATGTCTTGACCATGTTTTATTTACAACCTTTCAAATAATATTGAAAAATTGAAAATTTTCAATATTAAGTTCATCAAGAAAATAATATGGTAAGGTGAGAGTAGATAGCTTTTGTTGAAAAGTATGGATATCAGGAATTTTCTGTTTTTCACATAGGGAACTCAAGATCCAGTTTTTTTGTGTAACATTACTCAGTGTTCATTAATTGTCCTGGACTTGAATAGTTAAAAACATGGAGACAGTATGTGTGGAAAAATTATTCCTTAAAAAATATATATTAGAATTCCATTGCATGATGATGTTGTTAATTTTTGAAGGAAATTGTTCCTTAAATCTTGACTAAAACCCAAATGCTACCTGCTAATTAATTAATATTTTCAGCATTCCATCCCATACTCTACAAATAATTAAGCACACAATTTAGGGAACATGTTCTTTGGAGATTGTGTTTGGAGCATAGATTTCTCCTTCTTATTGCAACAAGGCTGCTCTAGGGATGTCTTTGTAAAGTGTTCACATCCTATTAAACTTTAGGTGAGAGAGTCTTGCTATTAACCTTGAAGTGGTGGTGTTAATGCTAAAAGTCAATATTAAACATGCCTTTTGATTTAAATAAATACTTACTACTGTATTAAGTGGATTGCTTCAAAATCTTTAAACAGAAGTTTTTGCTGGGAAAGCCAATATTTTAAGATGGAAATAATTGTGTGTGTGTGTATTTGATTTTAAAATCCCACATATTATATCTAGACAAAGTGTTACAATTTTTTGTTATGAAAATTTTCTCTTAAGCTTCATAGATTACTTCAAAAGAAACAGTTTTATCATTGTGAGCTTATAAAGACCATATTCCTCTTTAAACAAATTGTTTTAAGTAGCCAAATTCTGTCCATTTTGGTTTCAAGATAAAAATTATGCTAATTTTCATGAGGGTTACTTCTTATGAAATGCCTGTGACATTCATATAGTACTTAGATGCAAAAAGAATACATATATATTATCAATTCAAGTTTTTGAAACTGATAATATTTTCTGTATAGTACAAAACATTCTAGGAGTATAATTGGTTTTTAATTACCATATATAATTGATTGACTTGTGCTTTTAGAGTCTATATGCAATTAGTAGCGGTTATATTTGTTTCATAAAATGTCTTGGAAGATCCTTTAGAATGTGTAGATTTCAATTATCCCAGTATATTCAGATATGACTTTAAAACTTCATTTCCTTATGAAGGTAAACATGTGGTCATTATCAAAAGAAATGACTAGCTCTCTTTATTCAGAGAGACAGAGTCAAAAGCCAGGAATTCATTTGTCTCTTACTTGTTGGATGGAAGCACTAACCCGGCCAACTAACCTTTAAAAGAACATGCAAAGTCAGAGATGTCAGATTGTACCAGTAAATATTACTGGCAAAGTTTTTATATCAAAGACTGGAAGTTCAGGAGATGCTCTTGGGATTTGGTGTGCTCTAACATCTATTAATCCCTGATACTTTAGGTGACTTGTCAAAGAAGTGCTACATTTACAAGGAGTAGGCAGGGAGACCCAAGAGGACACCGTCAGTTAAAGGTCAAGGAAGCAATTAACGTTCTAAAGAACTTCACAGCAAACGTTGCCCACCCGCTCCTTCAATCTTAGTACAAGTGCATATAGTGAAATGAAAGTTAAAGTTCAAATGAAACATATTACCAATATTATTTGGTTCTTGGTGCTCTTCCTGAATGTGAATACTCAGTCATTTAAGCAGTCCAGTGAAACATATTAGAGGAAATGGCTATTGCTGAAGAACATCAATTTTTTAGCTTTCTGTGTTCTCGGCATCTTTTACAGGTCATTGTTTGCGAAAGTGTGAGAGTGGAGTGCTGGGCTGTAGCTAAGTTGGAGTTCTTCTGTCTGGATCCTAAGTAGGACGCACACACAACACACAAAGCACACACATCTCTAATCTCTTATATTTCCCAATATTTCAAAGTTGTAAAGCCTCTTGTGTTCCCTGCAGGCTTTGTTGTTTTGGTGGGAATACCCAAATTGTCCTCATACAGCTGAGTTTCAAGGTTTCTCAGTTTCTTCGAACCTTCTGAAATGGAGCTTCTCCCATTACACATGGGACCACCAATGTGCTTTGCCTAGAACAAAATAGAACAGAGTCTGTACTACCCTCATTTTAGAAGCTATGGTGTTAGCACAGCTTGGGTGTACTAAATTTTCTGATAGTCACTTATACTTCTGACTCATGGCCAAAGCTCCCTGCTGCATACCAAATAGTGCTGATAAACTCTAGCTAGATGTAGAACCCATCAAGATACCTTGCATTACATTTTGTTTTACAAAATACTCAGTACTTCCAATCACATTTATGTTACCTAGAAATGTGACCATATCTTAACATCATCGGTAAGTCAGACCATGAGTAAAAATGTTTATCATGGCAAAACTGAGAACATACCACTTATTAGAAAGTTCCCTGACCCTGAACATGCCCCATCTTGTCTGACTGGAGGCTAAGCAAGGTTGGTCATGGTGACTGCTTGAATGGGAGACCATTAACATGGTACAAAGGTCTCTGTAGGTAGGAATTAAACCAAAGTGTTTTGGGGGTACTTTGGAAAAACTTACTTTGCCTCCAATCCAGTAATTCTTCAGGAGAATATCAAACGTATTGCTGAGCTCCAGATAAATTGTGGCTGTGTATTTCTACTTCTCTGTAGGGTCAGGGTCATGTGTGGTTGGCTGCCACATTCCCAGCACCTGGCATCAAACCCAACACACACCTGCCTACGGTACTGCTTGTTGAATGAGGAAATGGAATAGGTAAAGAACAAAGGTTGCTTTGGCTTAAATTTTGAAAATGAGTCTTTGGAATTACAAACTGCTTTTCCTTTTAGGGGGAGTTTTCATCTGTTTATTTTTTCTTTGCACTCATAGTCAGTCTTTCTTTGCCATCTCCTCTTCTGGAGGACCCTAAGCCTGGATTTCTGAGTGCAGGGTAGAGAAGCAGCTGGCAGGACTCTAGCCTAGTCTGACACAGCAGAAACAAGACTGGAAGGATCAATGGTTTTTAAGGATTGATGTGATAAGTAACTTCTCCATTGATGAAAATCATGTGCTAGATCAAAGGTTAAACCTAAGACAAACTTTTTCTATGAAGACATTCCTGAGTGGCCTCATTCACCGTGGTTTCCCTTTTCCTTATTGAATATAGAATTTTTAAGCCTGCATCCCACAAGGCAGGATTTGATTGTATGGTCATCTTGTTCTGTCTCTCAATTTCATGATCAAAATTATAAGAATTACAGCAATAACAATAACAATAACAGTGTTTGAAACCTATGTAGCCGTCAGTGCGTGACTCAACGTACATTTTCTCGGCTCCCAACACTTTTTGTTGTAGGTTTTTCTGTCTTTCACATTTTGCATAACTAGTCTATACATTCTTAGAGACAATTAGTTTTTTTTTTTTAAATTACCACTTTTAAATACTTTATAGGGAAGACTTTGGAACAACCATAAAGGAAGCTCAAGATTTGGCTCCTACATTTATAAGTTACGCAAAGTTGGTCATGTTAATAGAATTGTCTCAGTCTTAGCTTCATTATTTGTGAAAGTGAAAAAGAAGAATGTCTATTTCACAAGGTTGTTGGAAGAAGTGAAATATTACAGCATGTTTTGCACGGCCTGCTGTGTTAAGAATGTGCTGAGTAATTGGTATAATGTTGCTTATTAACCTTGTAAAATGTCACAGATGTTAAGGTGTCATGAGCTCCCTCAAAATAACGCTATTAGAAAGAATAATAATGATGCAAGGGTGTACTCTAGGGCGGTCTTAAATATCTTTAGTCTTCATAAAAGCAAGTCATAAGGAATAGACTACTATCCGTTACTTAGCTGCTGGGCACTGCACTGTGTAGTCACTATATATAGCCATGATCTCACACGCCATCACCAGCCTTTCTGTTATGCTGGGTGATCTGCTTTGTGATTCTGAAAATATATTTCTTTAAAAAAGCATATCAGTTATTGTGTGTTTCATTTAACACTGCAAAAATGAAGTGTTGATATCAACTCTAGTAAACATCAGAACAGTGTTGTCATTCTGATGTATAAAATGGTACCTTGCATTATGAGCTGTTTTGAAATCGCTTACCTTACTGCGTTATTTCACCTAAAGTCAGTGAATACTCAAAAGTCACCATGTAGAAATGCTGCATTTCCACCAGGTTCTTCTCTTTCACAGATTTACTAACACGATCATCGCCTTTCTCTCCTTTCAGAGACCAGAAAAGACCATGCTGACAAGCAAGTGGTCACAGAGATCATGGCAAGATGTTTTATTCCAACGCTAATAACAAACGTTCCCTGGGAAGGCTTCCGTTTTGTTGGACATGAGATTCGGATTGCTGAAGCCACAGACTGTTACGGTGCTGTTGTCTGGCCCTCGGTATAATTTTGCGCAAAATTTGCTTCATTCCAGTTGTCACGTTCTGCTTGGGGGAAGAAAACAGGCTTTTACTTTGTGACCTCAGACAACAGTCACATTCTGAAATCAGGCTATTGGGAAATTTCTTCAACCAGTTAATGATGTTTCTGACTATTGAAATTTGCAGGATAAGTACAAATTTTTACTCTTTCTTTTTTTGCGACAATGAGAGTTTAGAAGAGTAGACATTTTATTTTCCATTTCTTGGGAGCCATTTGAGTTGATCAGTTACAAAGAAATCTGTCTGAGTCTCACCTGCAGAACACTCCCAAAGGTCCCATTGATTTACCAACAATTCCATGAAGAGTGGCACGTCCACCTTTACTACCTTCGTCAAACTCACACACCACTTGGAAATGACTAGTGTTATTAGAAGTTACTTCCCTAAAGAAGATCAAACTTAAGCAACTGAACTCTGTGTTTTGGGTTATTTCTCCTTCCTCCCAGCAGCACTGGGAACCCATCAGAGGATGGACTTCTGATAGTAACTTTCTATAGTCATGGGTACAAATACTCAAACATACACTCTTGCTCACATGTGTTGCATTTACTTAATAGAGCTTGTTTTGTTTTCTGTTATTTTTTGCCAAACATAACCTTTTAAAATCTAAATCTGCCTAGGCCCTTGTTCTGTGCTACTTCCTGGAAACAAATGCAAAGGAATATAATCTGTTTGACAAAAATGTGATTGAAATTGGAGCTGGAACTGGGCTGGTCTCCATTGTGGCAAGTTTACTTGGTAAGTAGGTATATTCGACTATCATTAGTCACGTACCATTCGTTACTCTTACATCCAAAGTGCTGTGGCCCAGGCCTATTTGTAACTCTTTGATTATTTAAATGATTTTCATTAAGCAATTCTACCAGCATTAAAATCGCTTTGCCAGTTTCTTTCCAGAAATTTCTCTTAGTTGTATTAGCTATCCCCGTGGAATGCTGTCACAAGCCTTCCTGTGAAGACATGGGAGCTGTACTTAAGCATCCTGGTTGGGAGAGGAGCTGTGTGAAATGCTAGGCACAGCTATTTCTCTTCTGGTTTTTTTGAGACAAGGTCTCAGTATGTAGTCCAGGTTGGCCTTGAACTTGCTGATATAGACCAGGCTGCCCTCAAACTCACAGAGTGATCCTTCTGCCTCAGCCCCCTGAGTGCTGGTATTATAGGCGTGCACCACCATGCCCGGCTTAATACTAGGGTTTGATAGTCAATTGTTGCTGATTTTGAGGTATAGTACTTTAGATGTTAGCATGAATTCAACGTTTATAGGTAACTATAGATTATTTTTGACTTTTGAAGTCCTATGATTTTATGAAAAAGAATCTATTAAATAGAGAAAGAGTGCTAGAAAGCACACAAAACCCACATCTCTCCTTTTATTTTTAGGTGTTCGCTGTTGGATTTGTTTTCTCAGTTCTTTTCCATTTTTCTCTATGGCCCTTAGTTCTCTCATCAGATCCCGCCAGCCCTATGATCCTCTCTCTATGCCTGGGGCTGCTTCCACTCTGCTTTTCTTTGTTTTATCTGTTTCATTGTCTTAATTTAGCTGCCTTCTCTGATGGGCACTACCCAGATTGGTCTTGATTTCCTTGATCTTCAGAAGTGCACACCTGGCACTCTAAACTCTTGAGAGGAGTTCAAGTTTTAGCAATCACCACTTTCTAAACACTGAAGAGATGCAGGACCCCTGAAGTCCTCCCAAATGTTTTTTCTGAAAAAATTTCTCTGAGCTGATACTGCCTTCTAGGGTCACCATTCCACTTACTGTGGGTAGAGGCAGAGGCACGACTGATTTATACTGAAGGGCTCCTGATCCAGGAGTAGAATTTGTGTCTTAGGAAGTCATTTGTTTTATTAAAAATAATCGATCCCTTCAGCATGTTTGTCTGACCTGCCACAAACATCAAGATGGAAGGTGTGTTTCGTCAGTAGTCTGGAAGGGGTGATGCTCCCCATTCTAGACACAGGATTTTAACCAGTCAGATAGTTTACACTCCCTCTAAGCAAGGTATATTCCTTACCTTGGAATTTAAAAAGACTTGTTGAAAACTGTAGATTTATTTTATTTTATTTTATTTTTTTGTTTGTTTGTTTTTTGTTTTTTTCCGGTACTGGGAATTGAACTCACGACGTTGCACTTGCCAGGCAGGTGCTGTGCCTCTGAGCTAAATCCCCAGCCTCCTAAAAACTATAGATTTAGTCACAGTAGAATGCGAAGCCTCACATTTCCACAATTCTACCTATGATGTGCGTGTCTCCTGACCATTTTAGCACTGTCACAAAAATACTACTCCAGTCAGTGTTAGAAAAACTTGACCTTGTGGCTAACCCACGGGTTCTACCCTGTCCTGAGCCAGACTAGACTTCTGCAGTTCTTCCTTCCCATCCCTTGTCCTGTTCTGTGCATGTCAGAAGTGATGAGAGCAGCTGTTCCTCGCTTTATTTCTAAGTTCTGCTATGCGCCAAGCTCACTTTATGGACAAAATTTTATAACGACATTCCTGCCAAGTTTGTGCCTGAATATGACCACTGCTATTCACTTATAACTAAGAAGCTGTTTAAACCTTCTGCATCTAAGCACCCTGTCCTGTATCTATGCTCTTTATGATGTCTTTTTGGCAGGTAAATTTACATTTATAATGGGTTCAAGTTGAAAGCTTGGGCATAAATATGATTGGCATTATCCTTTCAATGTAATCATTGAGAAGTACCCCCCCCACCCCCCTTATCACACATTCAACCAGGGGATCCCCAGTGTTACATATACTCACTCAGTCTGGAACAGCTGAGGCTAAGAATTGTTTTAGGGCAGCACCTGTTATTTCTTCAATGACTTCAGATTATTCAAATGATAGTACCAAATATTTTGAATTTCTCCTTCTCTTGGTTATTTTTTGCCTAGCATGTAGTAGATACATTGAAAAGAACAACACATGGAAACAAAAGACCAGGAGAACAAAAAAGAATGCAACGATGTGTAAAAATATCACGGCACTCTAGTTCTTTCTTTTTCAAGGGGAGGTACAGAGCTGCTTTAGCCTGTGTGTGAGAGGGGTTGTCTTTGTGTGCTGACCAGTCCTTTCTTTTGGACTAGCGATTGTGCAGAATTGTACGAGCATGTTGGCGAGACACCCGATGGCTTGACCTTATTCTGTAAGCGTTACTAGTTCTACCAAACTTTGTTTCACAGGTGCTTATGTGACTGCCACAGACTTACCTGAATTACTTGGCAACCTGCAATATAATATTTCCCACAACACTAAAATGAAGTGCAAGCATTTGCCTCAGGTTAAAGAACTCTCCTGGGGAGTCGCTTTAGAGAAGAACTTCCCCAGGTCTTCCAATAATTTCGACTATATCCTGGCAGCGGATGTTGTCTACGCTCATCCTTTCCTGGAAGAACTCCTTGTTACCTTTGACCACCTGTGCAAAGAAACTACCATTATCCTCTGGGCTATGAAATTCAGGTTGGAGAAAGAAAATAAATTTGTAGATAGGTTTAAGGAGCTGTTTGACCTGGAAGAACTCTCCAGTTTCCCAAGCCTGGATATTAAGTTGTATAAAGCTATGAAGAAAAATCGGAGGAGTGCATAACATCCTCAGGTGGAAACTTGGAAATGCTAAGGCAATTTGTAGATTATTAGTTTAAAGAAACCTGAATAATCTGATGTACCACTGACTTTCCTAAGAGGAAACACCACCCCCCCACAAGTCTATTATGAGAATAGAAGGTAGTTTCCCAAAGTTACCTTACTCTAGGCAGGGATATTTCCTACAGGTGCACCTGTAGGATTTGGGGTATCTCAGTTGATCTCCATCAGCACTTGAGGTCTCCTTCTAATTACATGGTAGCAGGAACTTTTGGGAAAGTTGCACTACGTGGTCATCATCTGCTCTCTTCATCCCTTTATAGAAGCATGTACTATTATTATTTAAAAATCGTACAATTATTCCTTTACTGTGTAATTGCAAAATAATAGTTTTAACAAGGACATCTCCAAGATGACCACTGTTAATTCTTTTAAACACAGGGTTGCATGATTATCTCTTTAGAAATAAAAAAGTTGACTGTCATAGGATCTGCAGAGAAGTCTGTAAAGGCAGATATGAAGCAATGGTAGATGTTGTGCTTTTGTGGTTTCCAGTAGTGCCAACTTGTAGGTGGTCTATCACCTCTGCTGGGCGGGCTGGGGCTCCACTCTGACCTCTTGCAGTCAACCAAGCATGTGCACTTGGGGTTGTGGACAAGGACATTTACTGTGCTAGGTAAAAAGATGGATGGGAGCAATGTAAGAATAGTTGAGACTTTAGAGGAGTTACTGTTTTTTTACTTTAAAATCAAATAAAGTTAATTCATTTCACAGAAATGGAAAAAAAATACAAAAACTTTGGGTTGAAAGTACATGAAAAGATTTAGGCCTCTAATCTCAGAAACCAGGCCTATGGCTGGTTTTAAAGTTTAAAGCTCTTCTGATGAACATATATAGACCTAGATATTTGAAATCTTATGTGATTTTTTTTTTTTTTACACGGGCCTCAGAGATTAGAATAAAGTCTGAAGTAATTGAAGTCAATGCAAAAAGAGCAAACAGCTGGGATTTCGTATGTAACCGCCTGGGCTGTTGTACTTGGTAACTCCTGTGGAGTGTCACCAGCTGGGCTTGTTGTACCCTGGGGGGTGACACGCGCTTTCCTAGGACTGGTCCTCTCTACTTGACCATTGGCTGAGCTGAGCCTAGCTGAGAAGCTGATTTCCCAGGACCCCGTCTAAGCTGGGTGCAGAAACCCTCCGGGCTGCAGAAAGCTCTTGGTGTATGGGCTTTCTTAGGAGCATGTCTCAACAACGCTCAAGTTTAACATGACTCTTTGTCACAGCCTGTCACCTGTGCAGTCATTTAATTTTCACACGCATTCTGAGAAGAAGGTGGTACCATCATCCCCCCTTCAGAGACAGAGAAACAAGGCTGAGAGGCCTAAGCGTCCCCATCAAGCCCAGGTCTGTGTGAGGCCAGACCCTATACTTCTGCCTGCTCTGTCTTTATGTATTTAAAACACCAGTGTTCAAACTCCTCTTCAGAGAATGACTGTCATTTCTTCAAAAGGAAACACAGCCCCAGAAACATGCAAATTCATGAGGGAAGCGAGAACTGTTTCTCCTCAAAACTGTTCTCTTGCTTCTCTCGTGGGTGGAGCAGGGTCAGCCTGTGTGGAAGGGGCACATCTGAGCAGAACCGGAAGGAGGGGAGGGGAGAGGGCTCCAGGCAGGAGCAGCACCGTGCACAGCCCCAGGCAGAGCCATGCTTGTGCTCTTTAGGAAAGGGCAGAGCTCCTGTGCTTGCTGGGTGAGCAGGGGGTTGGTGAGCTCAGAGAGGCACAGGGAAGCGGGTCATGGAGGGCTTTGCTCTAAGCTGGCTCTGCAGCGGGCATGGGTAGGGAGTTCTGTGTGCAGAATGCTTGCTGGCAGTGCTGTTGGGATGGACACTTACGGGCAGGAGTGAAGGAATCAGAACAGAAGTAAGGGTCCAGGTGCAGAACCGGCTCAGCCTCCATTAAGCAGACCCCTGCAGCCCGGACCTTTAAGTGGCCTTTAAGAGTAGTCCTGACCCAGGCAAGGTGTGCAGGCCTGGATAACCGCGTGTGGCTTAGGCAGTGGGTATGGCTGCTGTCCTGGGATGACTCCTTGACTTTCCAGCTGAGGTCGTCTCTGAAGATGGTGACAGCTGTGGTCAGTCTGCCAAGAGCACTTCCAACAGCTGTGTTTCGGTCACTCTGAAGACTATCCGGGAAGGATGTCAGTGTCCACCACAGCGTTTTAGGCCACTGAAAGACCTGTGGCTTTTCCTCCAGTGAAATGAAGAATCACTGGGTGGTTTTGAGCAGAGGAGTGAAATGATGTCACTTCCGGTAAGGACCACTCAGGTGGATGTTTTGACATGTAGGGACTAACACGTAGGGACTGAGAGACCCTAACACGTAGGGACTGAGAGACCAGCTTGCAGGCTGTGGCAGCTATCCAGGCCCAGAGTAGGAGGTGGTAGCTCAGTCTACACAGGAGGTGGTGGAATCAGCCTGTTCTAGATGGGTTTGGGAGCTAGAGCCCCAGGCCTCCTGCCGTACTGAGTGAGAGAGGCTGACTCAGAAGTATCCAAGCTGCAGCACAGGACACAGTTTGAGAGTTACCACCTTAGAGATAGTTTGTGAAGCTCTTTCAGGGAGCAAGGGACAATAAAATGAAGACTGTCTTAGGTATTTTTCCTCTCATTGTTGAGACAAAAAGTTAAAAGGGGAAAGATTTATTTAGGTAAAATTTGTAGAGGTTTCAGTCCATAATTGGCTGGCTCCAAGGCAGGGTGGCATGGCAGACAGGCATCTCAGAGACGAAGCATTCATGATGAGCAGAAGGTAGCAAAGCAAGCAAGTGACCTTGGCAGTTTCTTTCTACCTGTTTTACACTCTATCTAGGCTATCAGGATTAGGGTGGTTACAAACCAATCAATGGACTGATTTAGTAACCACACGCCCTTAATTCCAGTGTCACACACTCTAGATTCAACCACCCCTGAAAAAACCCGACCTATGACTAAATGAAGCTTTTGGGGGACATCTAGACACAAGCCATACCAAGGACTCAGTCCTGAGGCTTGGGAATGTTAAGAGATTAGACACACGTGTGTTTTGAGATTTCTTTTGAGGTTCTGTTCCCCTCCTCAGTCACAGTCATACATGTTGATGCAAATTTAATGCCACACAGGTTTTGGAGTAGGTTAATAGAGTCCTAAGATTCCTGAAAGTTGCCTCTGAGCTGACCTGTGCCTGAGTTTTGTAGGTGCAGCAGCATGGATCTTGGGGTAACAAGTGAAAAAACATGGCTTTTTCTGTTAAAAACGTGTTTGCATATCATCGCTGAGTTATTTTTAAGTAGAATAGATAAAGTGTCCTTTGAATGGAAGCATGAGCACCACACCGACCATATGGTTCTCCAGAGTTCTTCTTTCCCTACGCAGCCAGGCTGTCAAACACGAAGTTCCATTTCCATTGTTTCGTTCTGTTTATAGCGCTCACTGACACACGCTCACACCCACCCACGCCTGCCGGCCGCTCATGTCGCACTTCATTCTAGCACTTATCCACTCTTTTATCTTTTGCTGCAGTTTCTCCACGCTCTTCTAGGTTTGATTTTACAGTAATTCAATTTCAAAAGATGTAATCTGAGTAGGCTTTTTTCTCTCCCATCTTACAATTTCTTTTTATATGAATAGGAATTGATTTGTGAATTTCAACCCAAAGGAGTTATACTTTGAATTTTTACTCCTTTGTATTTTTTTTTCTTTCTTTTTTTTTTTTTTTGACAAGTTGGCTTATGTTATTTAAAATCCTTGGTCCAATTCTTGTGGTAACTTTCTGGTTTCCAATACAGGGGACATATGGATTGTCAAGGTTTCAAAAGAGGTTACTAGAGAATAGTTACCTGCAGGTGGGGTCTGCGACTGAAAAGGACCACAGGTGGCTGAGAGCTTTGTGTTCCAGGCTCTGTCAACTGGTGTTAGGAAGTTAAGTATCTACTAAAAGCTTCTTTTTTTAGAATTTAATGAGGTATTTCTTTCACTTCTACCACTTTTTCTCCACTAGAGTTAAATTCTTTTTCCATTCTGTGTTCACATTCTGTTCTGTTTTTCAGGATAGAGAAAGGGCAGCACTGGGTACTTTCCTAACAGATTTGCACCCAATGAGTGGAAACTCATTGCTATGGAAGAAGAAAGATGAAGCAACATAACAGAATGGAATATTTCCTTTTCATCTTTAAGGCCTAAAACTTTAGGAAGTTGGTGCTGTTTGAGAATGCTTCATCTTTAGAGACCAGGTCCAACTATTTTTAAGCAGTATCATTTGCGGATAAGCAGATAAATAATTTCCAACTGTCCTTTGGAAGTGAAACACATCCACTGGATAGGATTTTAATACAAGAAGAGATTTGCATGCACTAACTTTGAAAATAAGCCAGGGACCTTGGGTTCTAAATATAAAAAGATTAAAGTCAGCCCACCTTGAGTAAACCAGACAAGCGGGCTTACTGGTAAGACTAAGAGAAAATTAGTATATGATGCTTCTTAGTACTTTATTTTAATTTGATTTTCATGGAAATCCATATGTGGAGGAAATAAAATTGTCACATATGTGTATTTTAAACCAAATTTTATGGCAATAATAGGAAACAAAATTGTGAATGGAGAAGGAGAAGGTAAGTGCAGCTGCAAAAGTGTTGTGGCTTGTGTCTAGACGTCCCCTCAAATCCTCATGTGGTCATGGGTGGGGCTTTTCAGAGGTGAGTGGATCTAGAGTGTGTGATGCTGGGATTAAGGGTGTGTGATTACTAAATCAGCTCACTGATTGGTTTGGCATAGTGAATAATAAGAAGGCCCATCCCAGGTGTGAGTGCTACCCTCCCCTTCAAGGCAGGTAGCTTGGATGGCATACAAGGGACAGAATGAGGGGCTGCTGCCATCACTTGCTGCTTTACTGCCTTCTGCCTGCCATGGACTGTTTCTCTTCTGCAGTGCACCTCTGCCTTGGAGCCAGGGGACTGTGAACTGAAACCTCTACAAACTGCGAACAACAATAAACCTTTCCTTCTCTAACTTTGGGTGTGTAGTATTTTGTCTCAGCAACAAGAAAAGTAACTAAGGCAGCAGTGTGTGTGTGTGGGGGGCTATGGGCAAAACACAATTTAAAAACTATAGGCATTTTGTCTGTATGTGTGTGGACCCAGCTCTTTTAATCTTGGTCAGGAAGCCTAGAAGTGGCTCACCATTGAGCACCATACCCAGATTTTGTCCTTTGAATGTATGGTGTGAAATGAAGTCTAACACATTATCTGCAAGCCTGTGGCCAATGTTTGCTCAGCTGCCAAGTTCCATGCACATTTGAAGGCAATGGTCTGTATAAAGATATGGTAGTTTTAGCGGAACCGGGTGTCCTACAGACCCTGGTTGTCCTCAATTGGTTCTGAGGTTATATTAACTTCACTTGTTAAGGATTCCTGAGCTAGGTGTTATCTTTCATTCAGATGGTGTATA